GAACCCATGAGTGAATTTAGATCAAATGAGTAAACATTGTATTTTTATGTGAATATGAAGGTGACTTGCAGAGTAAAAAAAAGTGAACTACGAAAAAGAAGAATTGTCACTTTAATCACGAGACCACGTTCCTCGCGGGCAAACAAGCCCAATAATATAAATTCATGCCAGGTTGGCTGGGCCTGAACAGGGACTGGAATCAGGACACCCCTAATGGAGGCAATACATACAAGAATGTTGAATTGAGTCTCAGTATAAACAGAAATTTGACGAATAATGATTTATTTATTTATGGTTACTTAACGACACTTTGAATGGTTCAAGTTCTCTAGCGACGCATGCTATGATCAATATTACGGCTTTCTTGGACACGTCGTTTTGTAGTTTGGTATACAGGTACCAATGCTTAGGATGAATCTACTTCCTTAGTAATCTACCCTGAGGATGAAGGCAGCACGTTCCTCTAAAATGTTTAAATTCATCTCCATATAGACCTCAAATCTTACAAAATGATATGATTAGGGAGGGATGAATTACAAAGGATTTGGAAGGAAGCGATCTTTGCCGGGGTTTGGCTGGATTCACTTCAGACAGGAGAGCCGGTTTCCGGGCAAAGATTTCAATTCGGAGCCAGCCATGTATGAAACAGGAGTGCTATTTATTTAAGAACGTCAGATGACAAACGCTGATGATAATGCATTTGAACAGAAAAGCATAAACAAACTCCGTGGCCTGTAGTCCGCAAGCGAACAATACCGACCAAGCGACCGCCGCTTGTCGGCGCTCTTAGCGCCAGCTTTTGTGGATAGAGGGTGTCACGTGGCGCAACGGATCCCCACGGCCGCTAATCTCGGTTTTCTAGACCGGAGCCACTATTTCCCTGAAATAGCTCCTCAGTTATCCTCACGAGGCTGAGTGGACCCCGTTCCAGACCCACTACTTCTCAGAAAATATGGTGGCGCCGGGAATCGAACCCGGAACCTCTGGACGACCACTAGACGACAGAGGCGGTCATTATCGCTTTACTAATTTCATATGCAGGCTTTTAGGTTTTGGCAAGTACAGTTAAGATTCCGCTAGTAGAAACGGGACGTCTTGTAATGAGACTCTGACATTATTCATGCTCAAGGTTTCTAGCCTCTCAAAGTGTTCTCATTTCTCAAGTACTCTCGAGTCATGAAAGTGGGTCAAGCTTGTACTTGGCTTTGCGTCTCTCTACCTTCTTTAGCACAAAAATAGACTCGAAACACTGATTAAGTAAAAGGAACGGTAAACTATAGAATAGTGCATCGATTTGAGACTAGCCTGCATCTAAATACACTTTTGCACGTGTATTATTTATCTGATTATCTCTAGTCAATCAATATTAATAACGTTAGTGGATTCACCCCGACATATATAATGCAGTCGAAGGAATTCCTATGAGAAATTAAGTAGAAATCAGTATCTCTCATCTTGAAAAAAAAAATGAAAATAAGTTTACGACATTACCATGCTGTCTATATGTCTGTGTATCCCCCGCTATCAACTTTTGAATAGCTGAACCAATCTTTATAAAACTTGGTATGTATATCATAGCACCCGAGCTCACCTCAACAGCGTACTTCATAAATCCCTCCAATCAGTCTGTGTGTCTATACATGTGTAGCCCCCATTCGTTGCTAGGCAACGGCTCGGCAAAAAAGTCACTGCAGAAACGAATATACATGTAACAATAGAAGAATTGTTGGACATGTTTTCTGTGCGGTTTGTGTCGTATTAAAGAAAAGTAGGCTATTAGTTCTTCCCATAAGTTCTTCTTTGAACATTCTTGTGATATAATTTCTCTTTCTGTATTTCTGTTTATTATTATTTTGTATTACTTGCCGAACGCGCCAAGGAAACTACTGACTGTCTGATCATCACAGCCGGCAAAGTCTAGATTCCGCCCCTAGCAAGTAGAAATTCCGCTTTCAAACTTCAGAAACAGATCAATTTTCTCGAAACTTCGTCGCAAAGAAACACCATTTCCAGACCTTGACAAAAACCATTAGTGATACTGTAATTATGAAAACGGTTTTATTTACATTGTTGCACAACGCATTTCGATTACTGAAAATTAATGGTCATAAAATGAACGAAAGGTAAGCGTAAATAACTTTCCATTTAACATAGAGCCTCACCTCTTGAATAGCTTGTAAGATATGCCACCCTTAAATTTGGGTCGCCCCAGGCGGCCGCTTGACTGGCCTATGCCTGAGCCCCTACCCTGCTGGTATTCTTAATACATTTTGCACCTCGCTTTTTCTAATCGGTATTCAGTGCTCGATTTTATTATTATTATTATTATTATTATTATTATTATTATTACTAACCACATGGAGAGCCGGGATAGCGCCGTCTGTATAGCGACTGGCTACGGGCTGAACGGCCGAGGTGTCGGAGTTCGAGTCCCGTTAGGGGCAAGATTTTCTCCTCTCCACAGCATCCAGACCGGCTCTGGGGCCCACTCAGCGTCCTCTCCAATGTGTACTGGGGGCAATCTCTCCGGGGTTAAAGCGGCCGGGGCATAAAGCTGACCATTCACCACCAACTAGTGTCGAGGTCAAAAAAACTTGGATCTATACGTCCACTCCCCCATACGTCTTCATGGCATAGTGATTAATTAGTTAATTAGTTAGCAGGGACAACTTTACCTTTTACCTGTATTATTGACTGCATCATATAGATAGGCGATGATATCTGTTTCGACTTCATATAACCCTTTCCATCTGCAACATATATGTGCTACAGCATTTTTCAGGTTACGAATCTACCCATGTAACAACCCTGGGGGACCAGACATTCCTCTCTGACTGGCACCTACCTCTCCACAGGTTTACTTGACGACACTATCAGTAGCCCTGGCAATATAGCAGTGGATGGGAGGACGATCAGAAAATGATAAATTAAAAACCGTGTGGAAGGAAGCGGTCGTGTCCTAATTTTAACAAGAATCCCGACATTTGCCTGGTGGGATTGAAAATCACACAAACCTCAGTCAGAATAGTCAGTCTGTGGGTCAGACAAATGCTCCTTTTAAATGTTATTGGCAAATTTAATAACTTACAATACTTGAACTAACATTAGGCAAATCTGACTAAATAGCTCCATGGAGCCCAGTCCTTCCTCAAAAACTTCTAGTAGCTCAGCTACTCAAGAAATCCATCGCCTTTTGTGGAACACGGTTGCTCGTTACCGGTTTCACAAAAATTAGCCGCCGGTCCATATCCTGGGACAAATAAATCCAGTCCAGAAACTCCCACCATATTTCTCTGAGTAAAGTAAAAGTAAAAAGTAAAGCTATCACTGTAACAGGCCGTGAAGGCCCATAGGCTTGTGAGACGTTGAGGGTCCCACATTATCTAGACAATCGGCTCAAAGATGGCGGTAAGGTTGTTAGCCTTACGCGCCGGCCGCGCTTTACTCCCCAGGAAAATTATTTAATTAATTCCTGGTACTCATTTCTGTTAGAGGCTGAGTCAACCCCAAGGCCATAGTGCGGCTGAAAGGATTAGGTCAATTGAAAAAATCCAATGACCACATCGGGATTTGAACCCACGACCTTCGGGCTTGTAGCATAGTACATATTTCTTGAGATCCACTTTAATGTCATCCTCCATATACTGGTCTTTTTTTTTTCCTTGGCACTACAGCCCCAGTGGGCCTAGGCCTACCTCCATGAACGCCGTTCACTTCGGTTTTTCTAGATCTTACACATACGGTAGGACTCCTTGGGCGAGTGATCAGCTCGTCGCAAGGCCTCTACCTGTAGACAAACACAGAAAAACGCACAGAAACATCCATGTCCTGAGTGGGATTCGAACCCACGATCCCGTCTTCCGAGCGAGCGAAGACAGTGCATGCCTTAGACCGCTCGGCTACCGTGACCGGCCCATATACTGGTCTACGTGCCATATAACATTACAGTAGCTTACAAAAGGAAAGGCATGAAGTGAATTAGTAAATAAAATAGGAGTAGGAGGATCTCTGCAATACACAGTTCGAAACAGCTGCTTCAGATGTCAGAACTGGCTAAACGGCGCGAAATTTGAGGTTCTTATTTTAATAACGGATGAAAACAGTGTCAGAGATTTTATTGAGTTACAAATAGAATGGAAACATATGCACAAGAAGACCAAAGGCAAGATGGAAAGATGAACTACATCGAAGACGAAAGTGTCCGGAAGTTCTGACTTGAAGAAGAGAAATGTCAGTTGCTTACTTTTGGAGATTGAATCTACGTGCACGTACGCGATGTGGTAAAGTAACAGGTAAAGCTGGCCTTGTGCTTAATTACTTAATTAATCACGCCATGAAGACGTATGGGGAAGTGAACATATAGTTTCACTCATCCGGAACCTTCGTGCTGGATGCAGGTGAGTGGTCACCTTCACGCTTCGACCGCTTTACCCCCGGAGAAAGAGGCCCCCTTATTCTTTACATAGGAGGAAACAGACATGCATGACCTGTTTCATACACTTTCATTTCTTGAACCTTATAAAAAAAAAGGCAAAAACTCAGTTTAACTTGAAGAGAACTATCTTCTAAGATGTAAAGCCGTTTAGTCTGGTAAGAAATATACCCAAGTTTCGGAGGAATGTGCTGCTTCCATCGTCAGAGTCAAATAATAAGCAAAACAAGAAACAGCATGCTCTGCTTACCGCGTGCTTCTTCCTGATTTTTTGCTTGGCTTACTCTTTGACGCTAAAGATAGAATTAGCATGTTCGAAACGTCGGTAGATTTCTAGCACACTACACGCCATTACGTCCTAATAGTAACCGATGTGAGTATCTAAAACCCGATATGAATCTAATCTGATTTGAATATTAACTCGTGTCTGCGATGTCCTTATCAACAAGTTGGACACGGTTTACCGTGACGAAGAAAAGACTCACGCCAAGGTGCGATGTCTCCTTTAGTATTTATATTAAGATCGTGTGTACACCTATTTTAAGAACGAATGTAGTAGACCTGAACTCATTACGTGAGCAGATGTAATAGTTGCGAGTCTTCTACTGGACGCTACCTGTATCATACTGTACTGACAGATCACGTGGAAGCTCATCGACATGCTTGAGGTAGATATTATTTCATATTTCTTGTTTTATATATACGTGAAATTAGAAATATATTATAATTGTAAATACAATTATTATTGCAAATGAATGCGACACATTCATTAGTGATTGGTTCCTAAAATATCACCATCATCAGGCAGTTCACCCATTCAAGCCTCATTCGTCCAGTCGTATCTTCAAAGACCTTCCACGGTCCCTTGATTCATGTGGTCTGTAATTTTTTAAAAGTTTTGGAAATATGTTTCTTTACATTCTAATATCAACACGAAAGAAGCAAGAACTTGTGTGATCGCAGCTTTAAATTATGTATGGTAACAGATCTTTGAAAAACATATGCAAAATTTATTAACAACTCTTCATTAAGACCGTCACAACACAACAATACAACAATACTGTATTGTTGTGTTGTGACGGTCTTAATGAAGAGTTGTATATAATAACACAACAGGGTGCATGAAATGACAATTTTATTAAGATAAGTTTTCTTTTTATAAAACAGAAGGCAAGAAAATGACGGTTGGATGAAATTTATGTCTATTTACCTTTTGATTTGATAGTGATAATTAACGAATATATTGGAGTTAGCCATATAAAATTTTATACGTAGACAGATCACTCATTCGCCCACATACAACATATTGTTCCTAAGTGAATAATTTAAAAATTTGGCGATTGTGCGAATTTGTGAATTTTAAGTTCCTCCCATGAAAAAAGAAATAAATGATACCTACTACTACTACTACTACTACTACTACTAACGATAATGGTTATAATAATCTGTAAAAATATTTAAAAGTTCAAGAAGTAAAAGCTTTGGGTTCTACCGAGATTCAATGTAACCATTTGTGTATGAGGCAATTATGTTAGTGCTGAGTTAACGCGTTTTATTTTAATGGATTTACCCACAAATTATATTAACAATAAAAGTATAAAGAATGCATATAGAAACTCTGTATTGCGGTACAGGTTACATATTTCCGTCCTTGTTTATATGAAGAACGAGTCAAAGTGACACTGCGGCAGCTTTTCTCCGAGTACTTCAGTTACCCCTCTCAATTATCATTCCACCTATTTCTCCGCATTCATTAATAATACTATCATCGATTGAATAAACTCTCGATATTAACAGAGTCGTTAAATAAGAAACTTAAACTAAAATTTAAGAGCGGGTGTCGTAGTCCGGAACTCATGCTACAACAAGTAAACATGGAATATAAAATTCGAGGTCTCCGCTGCCTTGAAGATAGAGATTATACTATTTAAGATTATGGTGCTGTGGAGTTCTGTAGAAAGGTACGAAGACTCGAGAGGAGCGTTTTGCTTCCATCTTTGGGATAAAAGTGGAAACATTTGAAACGTCTGTGTCGTTTGGACTGTTTTGGAGAGAGGTGTTGATTCTGCAATTCATAGTTCTGTGGCAAATTAAAAAAAAATACGTAGACGCATTTGTTTATGTCATTAGCATAACTTTTACATTTGGCTGTTGGAAAACGTCAGAATTTTCAACATGTTTTCAGTTATGTATATTTTTCTTCTTAGTGCAGAACGGCATATCATTTCGTTTGAAGTTACCGTTGCGAGAAATAAGTTTGCACGTCACAGAGGACATTAAGTGATCACAAGATAAATCGGAAATAACCCAAGCGTTCAGCTGTGAATTTTAAAAAGTACAAATTGGTCTCCGTTTCGGGTCAGTGAAGTTCGAAGTTCAACAGGATTATTTGCTTATACTTCTCTTTCTACATGGTGGAAAGGTGTATTCAGAGAGTGAAATATAAGTAATTTAGCAGCTTTATTTAAACACATCCATGCACAATTAATTTATCTCATGAACCCCTCCGTCGGCGCTTGAATAATGTATATGTTTTTTTTTCTTCTTATTCACTGGCTCTACAGCCCCCTTGGGCCCTGCCCTCTGATTTTTCAGTTTCATGATCATTTTACAGACAGTAGGACTCCTTGGACGAGAGATCAGCTCGTCGCAAGGCCTCTACCTGAACACTGGGCAACACAAACACAGAATAAACATGTACACATACCAAACACCCATGCCTTGTGTGAGATTCGAACCTACAATCCCGGCTTCCGAGCGAGAGAAAACAGTACATGCCTTAGACGGCTCGGCTACCGTGACCGGCATGAGTTGATTTAGAAAAACGTAATTATAATACCGAAGTTCCACTCACGAAAAAGAGGCGCGGAGAGAGCTCAGAACATTGGCTACGCTGCGGGACAGACCTCTGTCTTCTCTATAGCGTCCAGACCGGCTCTGGGGTCCCCTAAGGGTACTCTTTCTGCAGGGATAAAGAGGCCAGGGCCTGAACCTAGCCACTCACTACCATCTAGTTCCGAGTTTAAGAATTCAGTTAGCTTATCCGTAATATTTTAGACTCTTATTGAGAATGTGTTCCCTTGGAATTTCAGCCGGAACATCGGCTATCCTGACTGAAGGTTTTGCGTGATTTTCTTCAGTCCTTTCTGGCAAATTCCAGGATAGTACCCGAATTAGTCCACGATGGCTTCCTTCCAGATCTTTCCAAATTCATCCTTTATCAAGCATCCTACCGCTCTACAGTACATAGTCTAGCTATTTACAGCGTCATAAAATAAACCCACATAAGAAAAGAATGCGCGGAGTTATACCTCCCTTTTTAATATGTCTTTATGTCGTTGTACAGGCAAAACTATCCCGGTAACAGGCCATGGAAGCCCATAGGGATGTGAGACGTCGAGGCTCCTACATTTTCTAGACAACCGACTCACAGATGGCGGCGTGGCTGTCAGTCTTACGCGCCGGTCACTCTTTCCCACCAGGAAAATTCCTGGTACTCATTTCCACTAGAGACTGAGTCGACCCCATGGAATTAAACCCGCGATCTTCCGGCTTGTAGCATAGTCTCTCAAGTCTTTCTAGGCGTAAAGGGCGGCCGGCGCACAAGGCTGGCAACCTCACCGCCTTTTGTGAGCCGATTGTCTATAAAATGTGGGAACCTCGACGTCTCACAACCCTATGGACCTCCACGGCCTATTACAGTGATTGCTATACCTTTCTTACCTTCTTTGCGCGGTGTTTAATTAAAAATATAATAAATTTAGCTTTGCCTAAGAAATGGTTCTTGATGATGTATGTGTTCGTCTGGATCGTGAAGGAACTGGTGGATGGTGTAAAAAGGTAGAATTTATGTCAGAACTCGTCTAAAGAAGTTACTGTTCCTAGGGAATACTTGTTTTGTTGACACGCCTGCTACAGGACTAAGAGACAGCTACATTTAATTTTAATAGGCTCTGTGCATGCAATTCTACAATAGAATGTCACGCTATGTAGATATTTGTCTGAACACATGTGTCTTTTATCATCAAAAGGAATTCTGAACAATTTTGCATGTTAGCATAAAACCCATTGAGATATAAATAGGAAATTTCGCAAAAACAAGAAGCAATATAAAAATACCAGGATTGAAAAAATTCTAATTAAAGAGTTGCATTTTTTGCTAAAATATTAAACTTGATAATATAACAGTTTCGAATAACACAATCCAAATAATATCAAAATAAAACACATGTATTTAAATAAAATCTGTGTGCTTGTTAAAAAAATACAAAAAGGGATTAAAGCGTATGGTAAAACCCAAATCATTATTTAAATTCTACAGCTTTCGCTTGCTTTAATTTTACATACACACTTCAAGTGCTAAACAACTCGGAAGCCGGAATAGCTCAATCGGCATAGCGATGGGCTACTGGCTGGACGGCCGGTGTTCAATTCTCAGCAGAGGCAAGAGCGTCCATACCGACGCTGAGGCCCACTCCACTTCTTATCGAAAGGGCAACTTGGGCTCTTCCCCCAGGAGTAAAGCGGCTGGGAGGGGTGAAGCTCACAACTCACGTCCATATAGTGCCGAGGTCATGAATGGTGGAGCTATACCTCCACTTCCCCACACTTCATGACGTGGTGTTTAATTAATTAAGCAAGAGGATAAACCTTATCCTTTTGTCTTAGGTACTAAATATTTGTAATAATCTTGAAAGCTACTAAATAATTGGCGACGTGGAATATTTTAAGTAATTTAACATTTCCAAGACCAGCAGCGGAATCTGAAATTTCATAAAGGTAAGAAATACTAATTGCAACTCGGTGGGGAGGGGGTCTCCTTAAGATTTCTTTGACAACATAACATTTCGTTCCTCTGGAAATTAGGATCATACTACTCTTTTTATGAAACCAGACAATTCGAGAGTGCGAGCTGGCTTATTAAGTAACACTTCTGACTCTAGTGAAGAGGTTCCTGGTTCGAATCTCGGCCGCGACACAAACTATCCTGATTTTTTCTTCTGTCCCTCCTCGTAAGTGCCGGGTTAGTACCTTAAATTAGACCACGACCGTTTCCTTCTACATCCCTGCCGATATCATTCAAACGTTCGACGCTATACAGACCAAGTTACCGCGATCGTCGTTAAATAAACTACAAGCCACTCTGCATAATTCAGACAGAATCTGATGTAAACTCCGTGGCCTGTAGTCTGCAAGCGAACTATACAGATCGGGCGACCGCCGCTTGTCGGCGAAGTTAGTACCAACTTTTGCAGATAGAGGATGTCACGTGGTCAGGGCAACGGATCCCCACGGCCGTTAATCTCGGTTTTCTAGACCGGAGGTGCCGTTTCCTTAAAATAGCTCCTCAATTACCTTCACGAGGCTGAGTGGACCCCGTTCCACTTTGACCACTAGACCACAGAGGCGGCCATCTGATGTATGTTCAGGTAATATGTGACTCTGGTTTAGTAAACTGCTGCTGGTGCTCGCCAGCACAGCACTCATGACAACATTTTGCTGTCTCACGACTCTGGGGGTCGTCCAACATTGGTAGAGATATGTGACACGAATAGCATCAGCAGTAATTTGTGGATCCAGAAATTCAACGTACAGATAAAGTTATCCCTGTACTTAATTAAGTACATCATATTTAAACACGTTCCACGAAGTATTATGGGGGAGTGGAAGTATATTTCAGAGCGTTCTTAACCTCGTACATGTATGAAAGTTACTGTCTATTTTTAGACATGGTCGTTCTCAACAGAATGAGCAGTGAATCTGGTTGAGTACACTGATCCAGATAATGCAGTTTAGGGGTTATAACATGGTCATATTTAGAGTGCTTCACTCTCTCGCCGTCCCACAACGCAGCTGCAACCAATGTCTTGCTGCTCCTTGCCATGCTTCTCTCGAACAACCCAGGGGTAAAACAGAAAAATCACGGAGTGCAGCAATGAATGAGCGAATTGTGTAATAAACAAAGAACGCAATAACGAATGAAATAAGTTGTCATATAGGTAAATATGACGGAAAGGAAGAGCAGTATTCTCAGAACATGTGAAATTAATTTCCTATGAATCACAAGGCTGTGTGTGTGAGGGAGTAATACCAATTCCCTCACGTGCTCTGCTCGAAAGGGCAGCTAGGCTTCCTATATGAGCGGACCTTCCTCGTCGATCTATCGATTCACACTGCCAAATTAACCCTCATTGTTGCGCTGGATTCTCGCTCGCTCGCTCTTTGCACAGTAAGGTCACCCACTGCGATCGGGTTACAACTATGGGCCTGGGAAACTTTATGAAATACCCGTACATAGAAACCGAGCGGTTTAGCTCTAGAATCGTGTTTGGAATATGCTCGGTTCGAACAGCCTATCATGAGTCAGGGTTTACGCAGCTTTCCTCAGTCCCGCCGGTTATCCTGGATAGCTCAGTCAATTTAGTGCAGGGCTAAGGGCTGAACGGGCGGGGTTCGATTACCGGTAGAAGCAAGATATTTTTCTCTGTTCCACAGCGTCCAGGGCGGCTCTGGGGCGCACTCAGCCCTCTAACGAATGGGTACTGGGGGCTCTTTTACAGTTGGGGGGGGGGGAAAGCGACCGGAGCGTGAAGCTGACCACTCACTTCCATCTAATGTTGAGGTCAAGAATGGTGGAGCTATACATCCACTTTCCCATATGTTTTCATGGCGTAATGCTGAATTAATTAAGTGCAAGAACGACTTCACTTTTTTACCTTTACCAGCCCACGCCTGACAGAAAAGACATGGAGTCTTCATTAGAAAAATCAACCATTAATGATGCACAGAAAATAATAGCTACTTTTCTGATAATCATACCAAAACGAAAGATATGCTCTGAAGATAAAAATCGAAACATTTAAGGTTAAAGCTAGTAGTACATGTAGTAACCACAGTGTTTTAAAGTTTAATTAATAAGATTCAAATTCAAATTCAAGAGACTTTCTGTTCAGTGAAGTTTACACCCATTAACTCCTCTCAATATGTTCCCGTATGCAGCTCTGTAAGCAAAGATTTGGTTTTCTTTGTTTTAGATGGTGCGGGGCAATTATATAAAGAGTGCCCCCATTCGCCGTCTGCGCCATCCCCTTGAGGAAAGCCCACTTTGGAGCATTGTGGGAGGTGCCTTAGCTGGGATCCTGGCTCTTGTGGTAGGCCTTCCAGTACTTTTTGTGGTCAGTATCTTAATACCATTCTGCCTGCTTGGTCGATGGCTATTGCTCTTCATCTTCTGGAACCGACAAACATCTGCAGACACACAAGGTACCCCATATTCTTATATATATGTATATAAACACACAGGGTAAAAATAAGAGGCCCTCTGGATTTGAATGAAACTCGTGCAAGTTGTGCTGAACATACTTCATTATGTGTACAAAAATATTTATTATTTGTGGTCGATTTATTATACAGAAAATTAGTTTTCATTTTGAATGTTAAGAATAGTAATTTTTACATTCATATTACAGTTTTCTGAAAGCACTGAATGACGCCACAGTTTAATTTGTTAAATTTACATAATTACCACAAAATTCTCTAGACTTAACTTTGTCAGATTACCATGTTTGGAACAAATTTGAAGTTACTGTACGAAAAACATAAAGAACTTTCAAGTAGATTCTAGTTTCTATTTTCTGTAATACTGGATGATGAACAAAGTCCAAAAACCCAGTAATTCCAAATAACGTTCAGTCCAAAAAGTTGCTACAACAATTAAACAAAAATTTATGGCCACTCGTTTCAAAACACAATATCCACTCATCCACTGACAAATGAAAAGGAGGGGTTAATGCCATAATCCAAGCTGACGTTGTTTTGATGAAAGAAAATATGACTCACTTATAAATAAAATGTTCATTTTTAACATTGAAAATGGAAAATATTTCTTTGTGTAATCAACTAACTGGCATAAATTTATTGCACTTATACAATACTTAGGTATGTTATATACAACTTGCACGAATTACATTCAAATCTGTAATGCTGCATAGTTTTACCAGTAGAAAATATATTTTTACACTATTCCCCATATTCCTTATGATACAGATTTTTCGGTATATAAGGGTTGTTGGTATTTTGAAATACTCAAATACAAGCAAATTATTTAATAAATCAGCCTGCAAGTTTGCAATGAAAGAAAGAATCAATAAACATATAATTGCATAACCCTTGACATTCTTGGTTGCCATGATAAAGTTATTTCTGTGCTTAATCAATTGAGCACCATACTATGAGACATATGGAAGAGAGGAGCTATAGCTCCATCAACTGTCTCTGTCTTCTCAAAGCTCGTCCTTCTCTGAGTTTCTTCCCATGGCTCTTCCTCCTTCTGCATGACATCTTTCCTAACCTGTTTTCCCGCCTTGATCTTGATCTTCTTCTTGAGCGTTTTCCTTTTATATTCATGGTCAAAACCTTTTTTGGGGGATATTACCTTCATTCAGGCTTAAAAAGTCCCCATATCATCTTATTCTCTTTTTTACATATTAGTTTATCTGACAGTAAATTTATTTTCAAATTCTTTCCTTCTCTTTCTTGGCCTCTCCTTCTGTACTTCTTAAAACTTATCCCAGCTGCTATTAGTCTACTAATACTGCCTTCATCCATATCCGTGTTTCTGTTCATATTTGTACTTACTTTGTACTTTATATTTATATATCTGCCTGACATTATGGACTCTTCTTATATACATGTACAGACAGTTAAGACTCATGCTCCTGCAGCACTTTACCCATGCACAAATCTAATATTGTGTCCCTGATATATTCTTTGTAAAATTTAAACTACAGTAACAACTCCAGAAGTACTGAGGATATGAAGTAATCGGGATTCTAATTACAATTACAAAAGACAAGTCCATCCAATGTGACTATTTCAGTTTTCTCACTTGATGATTCACTAGCCTCACATGTTTCGATCCATTTGGATCATCTTCAGAGGCACCAAACACTTTTTAGAAACCACTATCACAACAGTTGTCATATCAAATACACATGTAATGTCCAAGTACACAATGTTCCATCTATCACTCACATTAAAGTTACTTATTAAAGTTTTAAAAACTTTGTTAAAAATTAAAATATATAAACCATATGGTTCGTGTCAATAACCCCTGTCATCTCTCTTCAAGGTGGCTGATGTTGTGCCTCCTATGTAACTTGATTAAGGAGATTCTGTGCCTCCTATGTAACTTCATTAGGGAGATTCTTAATATTGTCCATTATGATTTCTTGGCCCGCTGTGCCAAAATGAAACAAATCAAATTAATCGGGATTCTGTTTGGTGTCTGCAGGTGAGGGACCGGAATCTGTAAGAGGAAATGATGGTCGCTGGCTTGGCTCAGCTTGGAGATATTCTGTCATACATGCAGTGCTAATATTTGAAGCAGGTGCAGGCTTAGATGTAACTCATCTCCGGAAAATTCTTCTAACAAGGGTGGTCCCTCTCTATCCTCGACTTACACGACGACCAGTCCCACTACCTCTGTCTGCAGGTACAGATTCTTTGATTGAACATATAAACTGAATAATTCTTATTCAGTTATTAAATATTCTAGCATTGATATTATGTAGTTATATGGAGTAACTGAAAATAATGTATTTTGGTGTATAACAAAATGGTATAAAAATTATAGCAAATGTTGTAATGTCACTGGGATTTTAAAATATGTGCTTTAAGCTTATCAAAACCATATTTGAAAATTTTGAATTACTTATATACATATTTGAAAATTTAATTAATTTTACTTCATATTTGAGAAATATTATGTTAGTGCATGAAGAAGAAATTGTTAATTTAATTTTTAAGCATTTATGTATTCAAGATTACATCAATTTTCATTAATTTTATTGTATTTATATGTGTATGCTTTGTTTTCATGAATACTTCTGAAAATATTCTTACATTAAATGAAAGGAAATATTTGCATTCATAAAATTTATACCTGTTCATATAAGCAGAGTGTTCTTAGACACTTACAAAACTAACTGTGAATGTTGATTTTGTTTGTATGAAATTTTCCACAGTCTCTGACAAAACTATCACATCTTGTATCACATAATGTAGTTCACTGAATTATAAACCAAATACTTCTGTAAACAAAACTTAAGAAATCAGCAATTTTCCGTCAATCGATGAGTGCAATCAACATGCACAGGGGCAGGTCACTGCTGGTTGCATGACTCCAAGTTCTGCATTGATCGCCATGTGTTTGCGGGCCCATCTAAGCTGACTACAGAGAAGCAACTCCAGGATTATGTAGGACACCTTCTAGAAGAGGGGCTCTCTAATGACAAACCTCCATGGGAAATGCATGTTCTGCAGAGCGTCGGTCGTCATCAGGACACAGTCGCAGTGCTCCGTGTACACCAAAGTGTAGCAGATGGCATGGCTCTTGTTCGCATCCTCTGTCACTCTCTTACTGACTGTCAGGTGCTACATGTCCCACAGGTAAGACTTGCAATCATGCTATAATATCCAATTTCTGTTACTTCAAACAATGCTGTCATTTATGTTCAGTATTTTCCAGTGTCTGCGCTATTTATATATACATAGAAGTCAGGATAGTTCAGTCTTCTGGGATGTAACAAAATTCAGTTCAGTAGATAGCTATCAATGTTTTACAGGAACATGCTGCCTCCTTCTTAATGGTAAAAGAGCACAGGTACATGGCTTGCTCTTCTACTCTGAAAATGGAGATAGCAGATTCCTCCAAAATGTCTATAGCCATCTGTCAAATTATATGGCGCCACATCACAGAAGACTGTACCCATAATTCTTGGAATGTAAATGTACAATTCCAGATCTCACAATGTTCAAGGATAATCCCTCGACACAGAGCTAGTTCCATGCTGCTACATTTTAACTATCTGAAGGATGAGTTTTCTCCAAATATTATTTAGAAATTTAGTTCCTACACCACAAGAAACATGCTGTGCCTTCATGGTAAAAACTAACTGATTAATGCAGTTTAGGGACTTAATCACTGTTTATTCTGAGCATCTTAAGATATATAGATATACTCTTGTGCACAAAATGCAGTATTTATTAATGTTAAAGGGGGTAGTACACATAGTAGCAACCCCCATGCTTTAAAGGGTTAATATATGAACAAACTGCTTCATTACAGAGGCCACATTTTGGTGCACTGACATTCACACTCAACATAATACGAGCCTGTCTTGTTGGGCCACTTACTCTTCTCTTCTGGCTTCTACTTACCACTGAAGACTGCAATGTGCTGACCCAACACAAGGGATGGACTGGCCAGGTCTCTGTCACTTGGTCAGCAGCCATAACACTCCCAAAAGTGAACCGCATCAAGCAGGTCACAAGATCCACAGTAAACTGCGTGTTGCTGTCAGCTCTAGCAGGTGCTGCCAGGAGGCTACTGCAGGGCTGTGGAGTCAGACAGCCCCCAGATATGAAGGTGATAACATTATTATACAGGTACTTTAATGATCTCCTGCAATATGATGCTGAATAGTCATATAGATAGGTACAAACATTACAGAACTAGCCTGAAGATTGAGGAGGCAGGTTACTCCAAAATGTTTATGGTTATCTATCACACTACGAATACTATCAACAAATTTATTTTCATACTTTTTATTCTATGAATTCAGATTGTGCTGCCTGTTGATCTACGAGCTGATGTCACGTCACCTCATCTGAGCTCTCGCTTAGGGAGTAAGTTGGCACCTGTGGTGGTGGGTTTACCAGTTGGAGTTGAAGGGGCAGTTCCTCGACTGTGGGCCATGAGAAGAAATCTTGATTCTCTCCGAACATCTGCAGATCCAGTTGTAGTGTATGTAGCTACAGCCGCCCTGATGGCTTCTGTTCCGGGCAGAGCTGCTAGAAAGTTACTCTCATCTCTCACTGGTAAAGCCACTTTACAGGTAAACTTCTGATGGGAATTCATTACATGAACCAAGTTTTCATAGAAAAATGTATTATGTGAAATTTTCTTGCACTAACATAAACTTATGAATATTACGCTATTTAGTACATGAATATTTTAAAGTCTCATCATGGCTTTTTCAACCATTTTCCTTATTTTATGAAACACCACACTAAAGGTGTTCGTTCCATATCAGTATTTTATTCTTAGTCTATTTAATGACACTTTTGTTTGCTAAGATACATTTTACCTACATGACTGTAGGCGATGATGAAGTGACTAATACTAAATAATGAAATGGAAAGGATATGGAAGGAAGTGAATTTTGCAGAATTTAAGGTACTATCCCAACATGTACCTGAAGACTATCATGAATTACAAAAGAATATCAGGACACTGAGGAGAAGATAAAAGATCCCATTCCTCTGCCAGGAATCAAAACTCCATTCCTCAGTCATCCAGTCTATGGTCTAGTTATTATATCAACTGCACTATCCCAGTAGTTCTAATAGAATATTAAGAGCTTCAAAGTATCAACCTAAAGGAACAAAACTATTTGGAAGACTTCTAAAGAGATCAAATTGTTGAGTCTAATAATCACAGTACAACAGTTAGGCCTTTTATTGATGATTATGATGATACATATTGTGGCACAGAAGGCAAAAGACAAAAGTTTAGTTGACAGCAGTGATTGCTCTGATGTAGCTCTGCACTCATATGACTGAATCAAAATAATATGTTTTACAGTTCAGTTCCTTACCAGGACCCACATCCACATTGCTGGTTGGTGGACACCCACTTAAGGGAGTGTATCCACTGCTGCCGGCACAGAATGGTTTAGGTCTCGCAGTGTCTGTCTTCACATATGCTGACCAGGTTTATGTGGCCATCATATCAGATAGTACCTTGGGTCCAGCTGCCAACACACTGCTCCATCACCTTCATTGTCAAGTAAGTGAGCCTTTGCTGTTTAATACATACAGTGGAATCTCACTTAATGAGCACCTCTCATAACGAGCAAAACTGTAAAAAAATGACTGGCTTAACAAGCGATGTTTCGCATAATGAGTGATGAGAGGGGAAGTCCCAGATTGTGCACTTGCTACATCAATCTGTGTTTAGCACTCGTTTTGCTAGCATCTTAGTGTCCTTTGTGATCACACGTTTCCAAACTTGTGTTCAGACATATTATTTGTGATTTTTTTTGTGCAAAGTTTAATAACCCTTGAAAAAATGTCCCCGAAGAAAAAGCCGCAAAAAGACAGCCATAAGAGAATAAAAATAACCGTAGAAATGAAATGTAAAATCATTGAAAAGCAAGAACGAGGTGTGAGTGTGGCTGATCTAGCATGCACATACAATCGGTCTACATCAACGATTTGGAGTTTCATTGTGTTTCACAGCAAGAAGTTGTGGAGGAGAGTTTGTCAGAGGAGGAGGAGGAGGAGGTAACAGCAAAGCAACAATCTTCTGGTGNTTTTCTGCAAATCGAATTCGCATTCCAGGTTGGTTCATTCCGCATAGAAGAAAAGACGAAGATGATTCACGCTCCTTAACAATGTATATATAATTTTCTTTGAATAAATGTTATACATAAAATTTTTTGAGTATTTTTTTCGGCATGAGATGCATTATCGTATTTTGCATTAATTTATATGGGAAAAATTGTTTCGCTTAACGAGTGTTTTGTATTACAAGTAAGATTCTGGAACAAATTATGCTTGTTAAGCGAGGTTCCACTGTATATATAAAACAAGCAAATGTCATCTAGTGATTGAGGTTAGCTCTTACTTATGGACCCAACAGAGTAGGTGTCTCCCACTCCATCATCTGAAGATCCAGTTTTCAAAATATTGCATTCTTTCTATATGTAATAATACAAATGCCGTCGTGAATGCAACAATTTATTTGGTTGTAGTTCTTTGTCTTTTCTTCCTCTACACTACATGTTTCGGCTGCAACCGCCCACCATCAGGTGTATTTTTCACTATGTAGCTGTCACACTGCACACAATCTAAAATCTAAAACACCAGCCTGTCAGTTTTGTTTAAAATCTCTCCTACATATGCTCGTCAATTTGATTTTAGAATTCTAATTTAAAATTTAAAATTTTATAACTTTTAAAATTCAAAATATAAAGTTTTAAATCACAGGGATGCCTGCTGTGTCCACATGTGCTGCAGCAGCTATTTCTCTTTTTCAGCACCGTTCACATATTATTCTGTGCAGGCTCCCTGTGTGTGTATCGCTGCTCATCTTTAATACACTACCAATTTAAAACTTTAAATTTTGAATTTTGCTTGCAGTTAGAAATTCACAAATTATATTTACCTACATTCCATCCCAGAAACTTTACTATGATAGCTGTACTAAGACTGAGCAGTAATCCCTATCCTTCCTCCAACCATTTCTGTTGCTGAATGTCTGAACTCATACTTGATCTCACACAGATCTTCAAGTTCCAGACTGCACATGTCATAAATATCTGTCACGTTTGTTCTATCCTCTTTTTCAAATTCATTTACTCCCCTTTGGAGCACTTACCTTAAAAATTCAACAATACATAAAAACCTCAAACGTTACAAAATTTTCTTGTTGTTACAGATTGAACTGCTGTGGCAACTACTTCTCCATAGACGTGTGCCAGGAGAATCTAGATCCCATGTTCTTCTCCGGCGAACTGATGTCACGGGCTCACCTGTGAGAGAGGTAGCTTCATATCCAAATGTGAATCACTTTAAACCATTTACTTTTATTATAAAACTAAAACAGCTGTTTTGAAATTATGCATATCCCTCTCATTAAAAGGACAGACAGCAAACAGACGAAATTAATTATAAGGTTTCCCATCACCAGCTAAACCCATGGATACAAAATATGGGATCTGTGAGAAAGGAAACAAGAAAAGAATGGAGGTTAAACAAATGACGTTTCTTAGACCACTAAGAAGCTTTTCATCAGGGGACCATAACACAAATGATATAAGAAGTTACTTTGGGGAAATCAGTATGATGGAAGGCAAGAGTTAGGCAAAAATGGAAAGGTAGTTTACTAAGAATCAGTGAGCAGAAATAAATGGGCCACAACCTCTTCCATCCACACGGTTCTCACTTCTTCACTCCACCATTCGATGTTTCATTGTCTGAACAAATGGAGATTAGGGAGGAATGGAGGCTGATTGTTCAGCCCTGAGCTGTAGCACTGGGGGGAAGGAAAGAAGGAAGAAGTTTACTAAGAATGGCCAACACAAAACTTCCAAAGACTATTAGAAACCTGAAGGGAGGAGAAATGGAAGACCACAGCAGAGGTAATCAGACCAACTTTGAGCCTTGAAAAGGATCTTGTAGTCCCAGTCCTTGTTTGTACAGAATAAAATCATAATCATCCTTTCCAGAATTAGGCCTATAGAAACCTGTTATGGATATTACAAAACAAAATCATTCCACTGTTTCACAGGTCTTCTTCCAAAGGTTCATAGCTCATTCTGTTAAACTGTCATTTGTCAGGTTGATTCTTTAACTTTGCTCACATCCTCATTAAGCCATTTTGAATCTGTTCTTGCTTTCTTATAACATCCCTTCCTCTATTTTATTTTTTCAATTTCTCTCAGTATCTCCCTTCATCTGCCATGCCACATTGTTCTTAGTGTCCCAGTAGGTCATTTTGATTTATTTTCATATTTAAAGCTGCCCTTGGCTTTAATATTTTTCATTTGTATATCTTTTAAAATCTACATGTCAATGTACACTCACATTCTCTTGCTAGATCTAGATCCATCAAACCCTCACTTGTCTAACATTTTCAGGGCTCTAACCGTAGAGACACAGTTTACATGGTGTTTTCAGGGCATAGTCGCCTTTACAGATCACTCTGGCAATTATTTCCCTATTTCAAATGCTATTCATCTTTCACGTGTTCAGTGACGGACTGAGCAAGTTGGATCAAGGCCGCACCGTAGCTCAAGCGGTTAGTCGCGGGCTTCCCACCGCGATGGCCTGGGTTTGATCCCGGGGGTCTGGTCAAGTGGGATTTGTGGTGGATAAAGTGGAGCTGGGGCAGGTTTTCTCCGAGTACTTCGGTTTCCCCTGCCAATCTTCATTCCACCAATTGCTCCACAGTCACCCTCACAATAGGCCAGAAGTGGCCACAGTACAAGGGACTTAGTCCCTCTCCACTAGCATTAAAAAAAAAAACGTTGGATCGAGCATTAATGCTTCTGACTTGTATGCAGGAAGTGCCTATTTGGATTTCACCCGGGACACTGACTATTCTGACTGAGATTTCTGTGGTTCTCCTCAGCCCATCCAGGCAAATCCTGGGACAGTACCTTAAATAGGACTATGACTGCTTCCTTCCATATCCTTTCCAGTTCATTATTTTCTAGCATACAGTCATTTAATACTGAAAAATGAGGAGCTTCATAAGTTGCACTCTTCTCCGAGTATAATTAAAATGATCAAGCCAAGTGGGCAGGGCATGTAGCACAAATGAGGGAGAAGAGGAATGCATATGATATATTGGCAGGAAAGCCAGAAGGTAGGAGACCACTGGGAAGACCAAAATGTATGTGGGTGGACAATATTAAAATGGATTACAGAGATATAGAATGGGATGGTTTTGATTGGATTGATCTGGCTCAGGATTTGGACCACTGTAGGGCTCTTGTGAACACAGTAATGAACCTTCAGGTTCCATAAAGTACTGGGAAGTTCTTAAGTGGCGGCAGAAGTGGCAGCTTCTCAAGAAGGGCTCAGGTCCACGAGAGATAGTCATTTAATTCTATATAATCTGAGTTACTGACATGTCATGAACTATAAATAAAACTCCACAATGAGGAGCTGGACTTTATCACGGTTCCATAATTTGTTCATTTGTTTCATTTCAGTTACGTCTTCGACTGACATGTGTCCAGGAAGAAGTTCAGCGTCTCGCGACATGCAAAAGCCCAAGCCAACAGCAAAACAGCCAGAGTTCAGATTCGTCAGGTTCAGAACAGCAGGATGTGGCACGCCTTCAGAATCTAAAAACCGAATTCTCAGAATTACTGTCTGAGTTGCACAGGCGGAACTCAGCTGCTGTTGGAGGCAACTCACCTCTCTTTGAAGTCAGTACAATGATAAATTTACGTAACATTTAGCATAATTCTTCGGTAACAACTTCACTACTTATGTACCACTATAAAGTGTATTCCAGTTTTAACTATATTGGATTTATCATTCCATACAAGTAATTTCTCTTTATCACATGCAGTTTTGGTGGCTAGGCACCTTTTGACAAAATGCACAGTTCAACAATACATACATAATACTGTCACGTATTTATTGACTAGACATGGGGTTTGGATTAATAATTGAATTTACTGGAGTCTTGTAACACATAACTACAAGCAATTATAGTGCTATAGTGCTATGGCGAATTTGCACACTCTACAATTCATTACATCATGACTAAGGCATCTCAGCTTGCAGTATGTTCACCAGTTGTTGCTTGGTAAAGGACAAACGCTGTAGATTCCTCAGATTCTGTGTTCACGGCCTTTTCAGCTGCTCGCTGTCTCATAGCTCCTCATGGCCGCAAGCTCTGGCCATTGACAGCTTAGCCATGTCTGGCCACCACTGGCTAACACTCACTTCCCATCTAACTGACTGAAAACTCCAATTACTTCTCCTTATATAACCCCAGCAGAGATCGCATATAAACACTGCCTACAATAATTCTTATACCGTTGCATTTGTGTATTCTTTGTCGTGAAAACACGTTTATTGGCCATTCCCTAGTGTCTCTTCTGGCTCCACAGTTCTGGCTTTGAGCAGACATGTCAGGATACAAACACCTTACTGAAGGTTTGTGACAAAGCTGTGTTATCAAACTGACATATTATCATCAGCATTATCATGAGTGCCAACTTAAGCCCAGAAGGTCTGTTCCAATTACAAAGGAGTCCTCTTACACTGTCCTCCCACCATCTTCTTCATCATCCATCATGTCTGTATCATATGGATTTATGGGTCACGGTGTGTTCAGATGCTCTGCTTGGATTTGTTCTTGAGATGCTGTTGCCATCCCTTTTACCAATTTTTAATCCTTCCACTTGCATTAAATACATGTAATTAGCTGTGAACAGTAGAGCTACTGGTTTCAATTTCATTTTGGCAATTTCAATGTTCACCTTTTTGATTCTATTCACTGCATAATTTTCACATTTACACAAAACCAATGGTGCAGACATTAGTTTATAAAACATAATTTGCGTAACTGAGATATATGTTGAACATTTTCCATCATCTCATTTTTAGTTAACAAACATGTTACATAAACTTGCTGTGCTTCCATCATCAGGGTATACTCTGACTAGAACTAGTGTTGTTCTCCAGGGATTAGGATTAGCCTGGTTTCATACTCTTACCTGATGACAGAAGAAGAGCCAAGTCCTGTAACACTGTGGTCTTTAATCATGAAGGAGAGAAAGGAAAATGCCCAATATGTGTCAATTTATTCACATTTATTTTCTGGTGTTGTTGTTGTTATTATTTTTTATGTTTTACTTTTTTCTTTTTCATTTTATGCACATAACTGTACTATTCCCTCTTAATTTTCATTTCATGCATCCTGCTGTATTACAATATATACAACTTATTTATTTGACCATCACAACACAACAATAAAAGAACTTCAAGGACAATGCCCAGATATAGTTCTGCTACATGTTTCGGCCACTAGTGGCCATCATCAGGCAAACACACTTCACCAAACGTACACCACTGAACTGCAGTATGCAAAATTTGATACAATGTCTTAAATCATTTAAGATAATTTGCAATAAGAATACAATAAGTAGGTTATTTAAAACCAATAAAAGTCATATATTTTGTTTTTTTATATATGGCTTTTATTGGTTTTAAATAACCTACTTATTGTATATCTGGGCATTGTCCTTGAAGTTCTTTTATTGTTGTGTTGTGACGGTCAAATAAATAAGTTGTATATTCCCTCTTACTTTGCAAGGGTAGTTTGCTGCATCTTGAGTGAACAAAGCTCATATTCAACAAAGAAGGAATTTACTTTCTGCCTCCTATAGGGTGAGGTGGCCCTGCATTAAAGCACTTGACCCTAATCGAAAATTTCTTGATGTCACCTGGATGAAAAATTCTGGTAAAGATATTTTTCTAATTTTATCATATCCTCCAAGAAAATAATAACAATAAAAAAACTTTAATAGACTTAAAGTGGACCAGTGATTGAGATTAGCTCTTTCTAAGTGACCCAACAGAGTAGGTGTCTCCTCCCTCACCTGAAGACAGAAACAGATCCCATTTCTGAAACGTTGTATTCTCTAGTTTTTAGAATAGCAGACAATGGGCAAAGTCCAAAAATTAAGTAATTCTGAGTGTTATACACCATCATCACAACCCTTTAGAACCTACACTGAACCCTTCTACCAAAGGATTCCACTTAAAAATATTGATTTCGGCATATTTCTGTTTTATTGAAGGATGAAGAGGTAGGGGGCGAGTTATGGCGTCCAAGACGTCGGGCCATGTCCTGCTCATCATCCCGTCATTCCAGTCGTTCATTGGTGGGACTTCTATCAGCTGCAAGACCTGCCAGTTTTATAGAATCATATTCTAACAGAAGTCCAACAAATCCTTCCAGTCCTCTTGTATACAGAGCAGCAAGGAGTGAACATATTCTCTCAGGCTCCACTAGGCCTGCCAGCTACATAGATTCACATTCAACTTCAACTGGTCAAGTTAGCCCTCTTTATTGCACAGCTGATGCTAGTGAATGTATGCTGCCTGGTGCTACTGGACCCATCACCCCTGAGGAATTCTGTTGCAATAAAAACAATCCAGTGAGCCCTATGAAATACCTGCCATCAACTCTGAACCATCTGCTTCAACATTCCACTTTCTGTAGTACAAATATTACAGTCATTTCAGAACATCCATCAGAAGTCAGAAATTGCGAGAACATACTAGCATTATCTGTCAATACATCTGAGTCTGGCATTAAATTGAACTCTTTAAGTACTGACAATACAAGGAACATGCTTCAAAACAAATATCTGAAGAATGACAGAAGAACTGTGAACTGCGGAACAGGTGCTGAAACTGAAGATGTGACTACCAGTGGAATAGCTGAAACAGACTTACATGTGTCTTCACAAATTTCTCTGCCACAGATCAGTTCAAATAGCACAACTGTTATCGATACAACTGAGAATCCCACAACTTCTCATAATGCTATTCAGATGTCCACTGTCGATTCTTCAGTAGAGCCTTATATTTTAAATGATTATAAGTCACATTTAAGAGATCCTCTGAGGGATCAGGATAAATCAAGCCACAAGAAGTCAACCTTTGTTACCTACTCACAGTACTCTCCATTAATATCAAGTGAATATGTTGCAGAACATTTAAAAGATTCCACAAACCCCCTACAGCCAAATGATGCACATTCCACATTAACTAAAAATGGTGAAAACAGCAAAGATAATACAGTTATAGAAATACAGGAACAAATATCCTGTTCTGAAAACATTTCTGCTCAACATGTATTTTGTAAGGAATTCAGTGTCACAGCAGTCAAAAGCCCAGAATACTCTAGATCAGCTACCTTGAAGGGACCAGTACAAACTAAGGATGAGAACAGTTCAGTCAGTAATCTTGCACATTCAACTACTTTGACATGCGGTGTACCAGATACAGATTCAGAATATTTGCCTCAACATATAACCATCACAACAGGAAACATCCAAAATCAAGAATCTTACTCATTTGATACCAACTTAGATGAAGCTGTGATTGATTCTAATGCAAGCACAACTAGAAATCAGACATAGAAATAACTACACACCTGCATAAAACAAGTATGCTTCATTGCCAGAGTGATGTTGAAAGTAACTGTTAGCAAGAAGGAAGACATCCCATTCTGATAAAACAACAAATCAACATCAAATGCCATTCTTGGTTCTCAAAACACAGGACATCCAGATAGTACGTAGCAACATGCAAGACTGTGTGCACACATTAAGATTAAGCATATCTTGTAGAGAAAACTGTGAGACTCACCAGAATGTTGTTACTACAGATCATTGTAAGACTGATGAAGATCCTGGTACTGGGTCCTTCTGAGTTGCTTCTGCTTTATCAATGCAGACTGATACCACTGAAAACATGAGTGTTCTGGAACTGAAATACAGTCCATCCACAGTCGGTATTTCAACAGCAACTGCAAAGCTGCCAGTTGCTTACCAGATAATGGAATCACATCATGCAAGTTCAGTACCTACCTGCAATTTCATAAGCATTACTTCCATACCATCAGGAAATTCTGTACATTCTTCCAGTAATTTCTTTCAAGCATAGCTGGAAGTCCAGTACATTCAGAGTACACCAATAACAAAGAGTAAGAGTACACACAGTTGACCCTAAAGAGGGAAACAGCATGTATCTCCAAAATTATGGCAATATGGCCTATACTCACATGGTGTAAAAACCCAAGAGCTGACTCAAAAACACAACAAGATCAGTAAATTATCAGAAGAAAAGAAGAATGGAAATCAGATATACAAATACAAAATTTTTATATACTTGAATTGCAGGCTTCTAGGTTATAATATTGTGTAGTTTGGTGCATGGTTACCAACGTTCTGACAAGTCATTTGGTCCATGTCTAATACTCAAAACAACAAAACGCCTTCTGCAAGGACAATCGGACTTGTATCAAATTAATATGCTCAGTTATAAGATTACTGAAAAACTTTAGGAACACCAAATCTTAATACTCTAATCTGTGATTAGCTAATTTTTAAACTTCTATTTAAATGAATGTATGTATACACATAATACTTAAATATACACATAATTCTTTTGTGTCTATATTTGCCCATTGGTATGTACATCTGAGTTTTACTAATCATAAAACAGTTCTGTCAAGTGTTTAATTAATCTGAGTATGAATTTACTTTATATGGCTGATAACAGTCTTAGCATATACATTTGAATTCTAAATGATTTTTCTGTTCAACATTATGTGCACATTTAATGGAGTAATTACAATAAACAAAGAGAGGTTTTTCTTTGAATTCAACAGTCTTCTAATTATTAACCCTTTTAAACCTGAAATTTATCTAAATTACATTCATACCTTCAGTTCCTACCTCACAGAAGACACAATACATTTCCATTATAAAGATTCATTGCTTTTAATAAAATACATGCTGCTCATTCTGAGAGTTATTAGAAACACATAAATGCATTCTACATGCAATATACAGAACATCCTAATGTTACAGCTTATGTGTATTTACCACTGTGCTTTAAAGGGTTATTATATTAACATGACAGTTATAATGTACTTTAACCAACGATTCTTAGGTACTAAAAGCAATTCTTTTTAGTACATTCTGACAATATGAAATGTTGGAAAGTAAATTATATAAACATTCTTTTTATGTATGGGAGGGTACAGATACAGTATATAAAAATTGTTAGATATGTATCAAAATCATATATCATCTTACATGATAGTTGTTTTCAAGAGTGGTTTTGTAACTTGAAACATTGTTACATATTTGTTTTCACTGCATTTAATTTTACCTAAAAAATAAATAATTCTGTTAAGTTTAAAATTAGTAGATTCAATGAGTTCAGATTAGAGGGGTGGGTGTTAAATGGCCCTTGAATCTGCACTTTAATGCCATTTAAAAATCCTATTATTTTAAGACAAATAATTGTATTGTGCTTTAATCTTCACTGAAGGAGTGAAATTGTGTTAAAGCAAAAATTGTGCATATCAAAATCACTTGAAGCCTGGTGATACCTACAGTCTGTATGGGGATGTGTCAAAGTTTTAAAATTTGAAAATGCCACATGCGAGCCTGGAATGAATTTCCATGACCTTCATCAATGCAGTAATTAAATTTCAGAAAATTACTAGCAGTGGTGATGGTAAAACAATTAGATAATAGAAATGATAATACATATGTTGCAAGACATGCAAAAGAGGAATTTTGCTTGGACAGCTAATGCCACAGATATTGTGCTGTGTTCAAAGCACAGGTTATATTTACGTGGCAAACAACACTTCCACGGTCTTCATAATTAATCTCTTATAATATCTATAATGAGCAAATGCTCCATTCCATTCGGATTGTCTGATATGAGGATGGCTTCCTCTAGCTGTCGATGAATATCTGCATTAAGTTGGGGTGAATTATGATAGATTTCTATCAGTCCATCACCTTCTTTCACCTTTTCACCCTGCATACGTAGAAGTCTTATCCCCACTCTGTGATCAATAGGTTCATCTGCCTTGCTGCGTCCTGCTCCCAATTTCCAAACAGCTTTTGCCACTTTCAATGCGTCCACTTTTGTGATAGTTCCTGAAAACGCATATGAGCACCAAGCTAATATTCAGAACTGAAGTTTGGATCAAATAATGTTCTTTAAGAGTAAATCATTCATGAGCTAATTAAGAGCACTGAAAAAACTGTTCTGAATTTCTCTCTCTCTTTCTCTCTCTCTCTAGCTGTACAGCCCTTTGGACCTCAGCCACTTTTTTTCATTTTCTTTATCCAATACACAGCTGGTAGGACTCATTGGATGTGGGATCAGCCTGTCGCAAGGCCACTACCCACACTGAACAACACAAACACAGAATAAATGCACACAGACATCCATGTCTCAAGTGGGATTTGAGCCCATGACCTTAGTGTTCAAGCAGGCAAAGATAATTTATGCTTTAGATGGCGCAGCCACTGTGATTTTCACTGTTCTGAATCATCACAGTAAATTGTTGGTATAAGTCTTTCACAGTAGACTTCAGCATTGAAACACTACAGCAGTATTTTAAGATTCAAAACTCTGAACTATATCCACTACCTTATATTTGAAGTCAAAATACAAAATTTTGGGAGCTATGTCTGCTCCCTGCTCTTTCTAACAGACCCAAGTGAGTAGCAATATTTCACCTGAGGATAAGAGCAGATCCAGCTACAGAAATGTTGTGTTCTGGTTTTGAATACTGGATGACTGACAAGTCCATAAAGCCAGTCATACTAAGATTCAAACTTCTGATTATCACCCATATATTTAAATTAAATATAGCTAGCAGAGGTTAATCTGTCTGGCATATTACCTGATGAATAAGCTTTGGTGATTGTGATGTGGTCTGGGGGAACAGATGGCAACACACTGCACATATCTCCTTGACACAGAGCTGTTGCAACTTCTTTGGCAACGCCCTGACATATGAGCATCAAGCGAAATTTCTCCAAAGCTTCACCAGAGTTTAAAACATTTAATACTGTTTCCTTGCCTTCCTTTAATGTTTTGGCATGACCTTTCATTTCCAAAACAATTCCTCCTGAAATACATACCATTTACATGAAAGCTTTGTCCTAGAAGGGCATTTTATGGTACCTTATCTGTAGTGTGGATAAAATTCTGTTACACAGCAGTAAAATGGAAATCACATATTCAAATTTATATGAAAGTTGACATTTACAGTTTCTGTTGCTGAAATCTGTTATACAAAAAAATTTGTTCCACAGTGGGCAAAATGGACTTCTGTTTTATGTGTAAACATAATTATTTTAGATGTAACAGTACTGCAATAAATGTTAAATAGGCCAAAAAATTATTCAAGCATAAACTGTAACAACTAGTGAAATTAATATTTTATGAAGGTGCTTCATTCATACAGATAATGTATTTCATACACATGCCATCAAACAAGCTTTGTGAACATAACCATGAAATGCACATGCAGTGCACCCTTCCATTTAAGATTTCTTTGGAGAGCTGTGTATTTGAAAACTAAACTGCGAAAATTTTAAACTGAGGAAAATTTGAAATTTTCACTATAATGACTGTGAGAACTGCTGTCTTCTAGAATGTACACTGATGATGGAAGCAGCAAGCTCCTCCAAAATGTTGGTAAATTTCTACCATACTATCACAAAAGAGTCACCTTAACTGAGGAAATGAAACACTGCATCTGTTGATTTGAAATCTCTGGAACTGAATGTTAATTGAAGTAAAACCTTAAATCAAGAATTAAATGAGTGTTGCACTATATCTATAACATGGACATTTTGATGTAATTTTTTTGATGCATCAACAAAATGAAGTAATCTACACACCAAATTAGAGCCCATACTTACCAAGAGTTGCAACCAGTTCAACCACATCATGAGGTCCCTTCCCCTTTAAGCAATCTATTGCCTCAGCTACCTCAAGGGAATTTCCTACAGCTCGACCAATAGGAGAGTCCATGTTTGTGAGAGCCACACGGGTTTGAACACCTAAGCCAGCCGATACTTTTATCTAGAAATTATTAAATGAACACTTCATATTTTGAAATAAGAATGATGGATTTGAGGTTCTCAAATCAGTTACTTCTAGGATATAGCACCATGTAATTTAGTAGAAGCTCATCAGCATTCTTTCAAAATGTCAGTGAACTTCTGCTGAATTACACAGTGTTACATCCCAAAATATATTACTTTTTAAAGAATAACTCTTGTGCCCAATAGACTGACGAATATGCTGTTTAAGGAACCACCACAGCTATACCAATATAATATTATATTATGGCTTATGTTATACCCTATCTGAATTTGGTTATTTGTGCTAAATTTTACACTGTACAGGGCTACTATAAATGATTCATTCGTTTTTGAAACATTATACTTTCCAAAGCAATACACGTACAAATATGATTATAAATAAAAAGAACCATATACTCACCAAGTTTTCTTCACACTCTATAAATGTTCTATGTGTGCGCCTTGGGTCACATGACACAAGTCCAGGCGGTAGGCGAGCTCGTTCCACACATTTTGTAGCATCATCCTGTCAGTAGTCATCACTGCAGAATCGATGCATTCCCTCAGCTCTACTAGTGTTCTTGGCAGTGGGGGTATGTAAACACAATCCTTAATGTGCCCCCACAGGAAGAAGTCACAAGGCGTTAGATCAAGTGATCTGGGGGGGGGCCAAGTGAACAGAGCTATGTCATCCTCACCAACACGCCCAATTCAGCGTGTCCTTAAATTACCGATACCACCGCAAAATGCTTTGTTTACATGGCGGTTCTTTTCCATACTCTCTTTTGAATGCGCGTTGCAGTGCTATAACAGACGAACATCTCGCATATTCCAACAAACATAAACTCTTTTCTGCCTTTGTCGCCATTTTGTAAAGGCACTGAACTTGTGCTGCAAACTAGTGTACATAATACAAACTTGGTGAGTTTACGGTTCTTTTTATTTATAAATAATATTTATATGCATAATACTTTGGAAAATATAGCGTTTTAAAAACGAATGAATCAGTTATAGTAGCCCTGTATAATAACTTAAAACACAGATGGGATAGCTAAGTCAGTACAATGACAAAGCTATAGGCTAGATGACTGATGAACAGGGGTTTGATTTGTAGTAGAGATATTTTTGTTCTCCAGCACACCATGACGAGTAGTTGGTACCAGGGGCTATATTCCTGTGGGTAAAGTGGCCAGACCATGAAGCTAACTATTCACCTCCATAGATTTTAAGAATGTGTGGGGCTATATCTCCACGCCTCTTGTATAGTTCATGACATGGAGTTTATTTAAGCGCCTTTATTTTATAATAATTCACATTTTAATATTACAATTTCAAATTATCACATAACTTTCACTCACAGAAAAGAGATGTCATAATTTATTAACTAGTTCCCTTGTGTTAAAGTAACCACATATTTTACAGAACTGTCTCAAGCGCATAGCTTTGTGACAAATATTTAATAAAAGTACTGCATACAATAATTTTAAGAAGTAACATTTTGAGTGACAAATTAATGTTTTGGTTGACAGGTTAACTCACAAGCTTTGAAGCTAGAGTTCGAGCTTCATCTTCACTTTTGAAAAATGCTGCCTCCCCTACTTTGACATCCATTACCAGTGTTTTTGTTCCTTCAGCAACTTTCTTAGAAATAATAGAAGCTGAAAATTCAAAATGAAGATGATAAATAGTAAAATACATTAAATATTTACAAAAAAAGTAATTCACAATAACATTCAAATTGAGCTTTCCTGGGTTGTAACACCATGTTACTGTAGCTGGATACAAATGGTTTGGAGTAACATAATGCCTGCATCTTCAGGGTTGAATTATGTAAGTTCAGGAACTGGTTCCTTTATATAGTCACATTACAAGGATGACAGTTATGAGAGCCAAGGTACAAGATCATAACCTATATATTATTTTGGCCTATATGCGATGCAATTTAATATTATCCTTCCATCCTTGATTAGGTCTTCAAAATGGTTTCTTCCCTTCAAATTTTCTAACAAAATCTTTGTGTGCATTTCTCACATCTCCCATGCTCCAAACACACCCTCATCCTTTATATGATCATCCTCATAATATCTGGCAAAGAGAACAAATTATGAAACTGCTCATTATTCTCTTTTTCCCAATATTCATTAGCTTTCAAATTCAGCATTCAGTAGACATATAGGATGCATGACTGGCAAGCCAACACTCTCACATTCACACAGCACATCCATCCCATTCACACGAAAACTTTCTACTTATCTCTACCACATAATCTCTTTACTGCAGAATGGAGTGTGGGTTATCAATTCTTGGGTATTTAGTAATGCTGTTCTAACAGCATAGTTTATATGAGATCTGAGGTTTTCACTGTTGTGAAGATTCATACAGTGGTCTTCCAGCTTATGCTACCATGTTGTCTGGTAAGTGGTTACTAAGTTTTGGAGGAACCTGCTGCCCTCATCTTCAGGGTTGTAGACACCCCTACCCTTAAGATATAGACAACAAGTTCTTCTGTTGACACCAGTAACCACCTACAAGGTTTTATGGTGTTTTAAGCCAGATGACCACAATATATATCTTTATAGCAGAGAACATAAAATTTTATCTGGTTTACTTAAATGCAAAAATGTATATAAAGTTCATGCAGCACAAACTGTCCATTTTGTAGAGCTGTTTAACATAAGAATGAGAGAGAGTGAATATATCTGTGGATTGTATTCATCTTATAATTCTAATAAGCAAAATATATATATAAAGAAACTGACCTACACAGAGTGGTATACTATCCACAGTAGCAGTTACATCTCTGCGTTTATACAGTTCCTTATCAGCAGGAGCCAATGTCGCTGTCGGTCCTGCAATGAAGCAGCCTGCTGTCTCCAACGCAGATTGCATCTCTTTTTCTAATAACTGCACACAGAACCCTAAAAAATATATATTGGTCTCCCTTTGTAACCAGAAATGTAAACAAAATATCATTAAAAGCTGTAGATTAAGTCCAAACATTCGTTCATGAATCCATAAAAGATTTAGTGACTCCATATGGATGGGCATAGACAGAAATATATACCTGAAGTCTTGGGGTGGAGTGAAGCTGAGTCACTTTTTACATGGGACACAAGCAGCCCACTATATGAGCCCCACATAGTAGTATAAGGTAGCTTACACTTTGACATTATTGTTGTTGTTGTTGTTGTTGTTGTTGTCATTGTTTTTTTTCTCTCCTGAGAAGTAGTGGGTCTGGAACAGGGTCCACTCAGCCTCATGATGATAATTGAGGAGCTGTTTCAAGGAAACAGCGTCTTTGGTCTAGAAAACCGAAATTAACGGCCATGGGGATTCGTTGCACTGACCACGCAACACCCTCTATCTGCAAAAGTTGGCACTAATTTTGCCGGCAAGCGGCGGTTGCTCAGTCAGTATAGTTCACTTGTGGACTAAAATCATGGATTTTTTGTTTGTGTTGTTGTTGTTGTTGTTGTTGTTGTTGTGGTGGTGGTGGTGGTGGTGGTGGTGGTGGTGGTGGTGGTGCTGGTGGTGGTGGCATCAGGGCTGAAGGCCAGAACAGTGGACTCAGAAGAGAGGGCAGCTTCTAGGTCGCAGATGATAAACATGCTCCTACATCAACAAACAAGTAAGCCATTGCTAGAAAATGTGATGTCTTCTGTACGGTCCATGCTAAGGCTATGTATAGCAAGGCCCATCAGGAAAAGTATGTTGGTACCTGGCAGGGAGGCTGGTTTGAATACCTCCAATGTAGCCTTGCAAGTCACAGAAGGCGATGGAAAGAGAAATCAGGGCCACCCTGTTACTGGGGGATATAAATGCAGGAGCCTGATCCTCCAGCTTGAGGGAGTCTTAAATCTGAGATGGTTAATCATCTAGGGTCCTGTGGGACTCAGACCCGATAATTACTGTGCTGGCAAGGGGTAGCAGCAATTGTAAATGACAGACCTGACCTCTCATCAAAGAGAGCACCCCACAGCAACAAACCTGCAACTGTCTGACAGTGACAAAAATCTGGGCTTCGGCCCAAGATGGGGGCTTGACACCAAGATAGACTGGCCGCCTGACCTTCGGTTATAACATAACTTTGACTTTGACTTGAAAGTCAGTCAGTCATGGTTAGGAATATGGAGCAATGAATTAGGTACGAGACTGTTGCCAGCCAGTAATGATGTGAACAGAAGAGGGCACTGTTGGGATCAGCTGTCAAACAATGGCTGATTAAGACATAGCAAACTAAGAAGACTTACCATGTGCTTTAGTAAGAAGTAGAGTGCATGAGTTAGTGAGAGCATTATAATTACTTGTAGCTGCAAGTTATAACAGTTCAATAGATGCAATTAAAATTACAAACTCCAAGTCTAGCCACTGACACTAGTTTACATATTCAACTAATATTTACATATTACTTGTATTTCTTTTTATATATTTACTATGAGCTCTGCTCACACAAAGTCCAAACATAACATCCAATACTGACAAAATGCAAGTTCCAGCAGCTCTTCTAAACAAGCACTTTTCATGAAAAAAATGACAGTTGACAACAGAGAGACTCTTGTCAGCAGATCTACCCACTGGCAGAATTAATATTATCTGCAACCAGCACGTGCTGCACTCTGTCGATGCAGTGTATTACAGTAACCTCACACAGCACCATAATGATCTTATTATGCAGACAGACATGTTACAACAGTACCTGGAATGCTTTCCAGCTTGTCCAATGTACCTCCTGTGTGTTCCAAGCCTCGACCTGATATCATTGGCACCTTGAAACCACAGGCTGCCAAAGCAGGTGCTAGAACCAAACTTATCTTGTCTCCACAGCCACCTGTACTGTGTTTATCCACCAGCAAGTCTTTCCACTCAGGGTTCCAGCTAAGCTGATCACCTAAAAAACACAGTTTAACATCTGAACTCTTTCCAAGATAGGCATAGTGTGAACTATTATCTCTTAATCCATTAATAACAGTCACTGGATACTACTTCCAACCACTTTCATGTTATAAATTAGATATCTCATGAATGCCACCTATTTTTGCTCCAAATAGCCTGATAACTCTGACATATTTCAATATAAGTAACAAAATGACTTTCAGCCTTTCTTTAAAATAACATTTTATTGAAATACATTATATGTAAGCTATCACAGATAATTAAAAAATAAAATATAGCGTTTTAAAAACATAAAGACTAGTTCCAAGCATAATTCATAAAGACTACTTTCCTACTGCATAATTTCTAGTCCAGTAGTTAGTTAGTTAGTTATTTAGAGAGGGTGGGTTCCCCATGCACCGCGACCAGTTTGATTTATTGTGCTTCCCTCTATGATATTCTACCAGTCTCTATACCCTACCGATAAATGGTGCATACCATCAGTCCCGCCGAGCAAGCGAGTTCGGCCACTTGCTTAGCGGTGTCTATAATGCTTCCCCCATCTATCAGAGGCCTTAGAGACTATTGTTGGGTGGGAAACATCCTGGAATTTGGCTCAGTGATCCCCTTTGGGGATATGAGGTTCCTTTACGTGCCGTAAAGTTACGACACGGGACACACAGCTTAAAGTCCCTCCCGGAGGACTTGTTCCCTGAATTTTTTCGCCCTTAAAAATTTGACGACCTCCGCCGGGTATTTGAACCCGCGTACTACGAGTCATGAGGTGGGAACGTTACCTCTAGACTACGGAGGCCGCTTTTAGTCCAGTAGGTCTACTACTATATCATTGTAGCAGCAGCAGCAGCAGCAGCAGTAACAAAAAAAAAACTTATCATCATCATCATCATCATCATCATCATCACCACCATCATGTTCATCTTCATCATCAACTGACTTGATTTTATTTCTGCAAAGAACTCTTTGCTTGTAGATTCTGTCCATGTAAAATTTGTTGGATAATCCCAAAGTTTCCACCATCACCATGTTTATAACTGCTTTATTACAAGCCATGAATGTATAATGGGTGAGCCTTCTTGGCCCTTGCACCGCAACCACAGTGATCAATTGTGCCTTATTACAAGCCATATATCACACATAACATGTAGGCATCTCTATGAACTGTCTCCATACAAAATTTCACATGTCTAACTCCAGTCATTCGTTAGTTACTTTGGACAAACCAAAGGCTAATGAAAACATTTGCACAGCTGCCATGTTATTTTACATTCAACAAAGCAATTATCTTAATAGTATATATACCAAAGTCTTAACATATATTGCTTATTCAGTCAGTTGGCCTATATGGTTTTGTCTTCCAATTTCAGCAAATATCACAACCTAACAATCAATCAAAAAAGAAAAAAAGAAAAAACAACACAGCGGCCCATAAACACATACAGGACAACATTAAAGAACCCTCTTCTTGAGAATGACAAGGTGGCACACATTCGGCCCCCGTCAAAAGAAACAGTAAGAGGGACGACACAAACCAGCTTGGTTTATGAATTCCAATAGAATCTTAACAAACCAACTATAAATATTTTAAAGTATTGGAAAAGCTGCTGTAGTTGTAAAGACTTAAGATTTTACAGCCAATTGTAAATTATTTATATTGTATGTATATATTTTAACTTTTAGAACATGCACTGTAATAGTGGCTTCTAACTGTATTGATGTAAATGTGTCCTTCAGAAGATGGTCTCTGAAGACCGAAACATGTAAGGACATGAATAATTTAAATAAGAAAATCTTAACCAGTCACAATGAATGGAACTGTTTAACTTTTTCATAATATTAGTGTGACAGACCAGAATGAAACAAATCTAACAATCAATAACTGAATGTAATTTAATGTTTGTTTATTACAGGGAAAGAGTTCATTGCAGTTTTAATTATTTTATTTATAATTCTGTCTGCCAAACATGCCTGTTATTACACTGTATACTTTCAGAATTTTGTTTCTTCAGGATTTGGAGGCCCCTCAGCCTGTGAGGTCTTACGCTGTAATTTATTTAGCTTATATCCAGCAATGACTGATTAGTGACAAAAAGGTTAAATTAAAATAATATTAATATGTCTGTTGATCACCTGAGTGAACCATTGCTGTGGTGAGGCTCACTGTTTCTTGATCTGTAAGGCCTTTCAGATACATGGCCATTAACATGGCACCTGTAATAAAATAGAGACACCTTACATATGCTTCCTTACCAGCATACTAATTTAAACAACACTAAAGTCGTTTTGCATGGTTGTGAAATTTAATCTGTTACCCTAAAGGAATAACACTGATTCAGGGTGAAGAGAGTGCTGATGAGAGCATTTTGATCTAATGCAGGGAAGTAACAGGAAGATGGAGAAACCTGCATAATGATGAGCTTCAAAATGTATTGTACTTTTCACCAGGATAAGCAAATCATGAAGGACTGGATGAGTGGGTTATAAAGCATGCGTGGGAGAACCAGGAATGGCACAGATGGGAGGATAATGCTAAAATTGAACTTGAGAAAATAGGGTACACCAATGTGGGCTAGATTAATCTGACTCAGAATAAGGACATGAGGCAAGAACTTGCAAGCACAGCAATGAATCTGTTCCATAAAAGACCGGTTTAGGAATTATTGTCTTCTTAGGGCTGTGTTCCACCAAGTTAATTAGCTAAAAAATTATTTATTTGGTGCAGTTTAGGATTAGAACCCTCACAGTTCTGCATGTTACTCATCCTACCAGTAGTTTAATTTATCATACATCAGCATATCAGTTTCATCCATTGTGGTTTCTGTAGCAAATGTCTTGGTCTCAGACATATATTTTAATGGCTAAAATGGTGATTCTCCTTCAGCATTGTAATGTGATGTGAGCACTGAAAATTTCATAATCTTCCCACAGTGTATACTGTATTTCAGAAGAGTGAAGTACAGTGGTTTATATATGACATTTTAGATTCTCATGGTGGTGACTGTGAAGAGTACTATCTTCTTGGATGTGATAATGTAATCTGATCTTTAATTATTTGTATGACCAGTTATTAATGTATTTCGTTTCAAAAGATGATTATATGTCTGTGTTTTACAATTTCCTTTTCAAATACTGGTAAGGATACAAACAAATGTATATGAACAGTAAAGTAAGTAAGGCGGTAATAACGTTTTATTATATCTGCTTCTATAATTTGAAAATCATGAAAATTTCATTGGAAATACAATTGAATTTAAAGTGAATACTCTGTTCCATCCTTCATACTGATAGCCATTAACAGATATCTTACCAATCTGACAATCCTGTGCCATGCCAGTCACCACACTCTGGATGAACAAATGTATCTCTTCTGACGTAAGCTGATCACCGTTCTTTTTCTTCTGAAGCAATTCAGGGATACTTATATCACGAGACATGCCTGCATTTAGTTATGAGATTCTACCAAAACCTGTAAAGTAAGAACAATTAGGATTTCAGGTTCTCAGAGTGATGAGAGTGATGACTGTGAAGAGTTCTATTTCTGGTATATAATATCATGTAGTTCACTGAAAGTCAACCAACGTTTTGGAGTAACATGATGACTCAATCTTCAAGGCTGATAAAAAAAAAAAAGGCCAAGCAAGAAATCAGTATGAAGCAGGGAACAAGCTTCATGCTGGTTTCTTGCTTGGCTTACTCTTAAACCCTGTAGATGAGGGTGATATATTTCTCCAAAATGACAGTTGACTTTGACCAGACTACATGGCCTTATAGAATCAGTGGGTTTTTAGACTTTTTCCAGCATCCAGTATTCTATAAAATAGAAAACATAATGTTTTGGAAACTGGATTTGTTTCTGTCCTCAGGTGAGAGGGGAAGACTCAGTTGGAACCCTTAGAAAGAGCTAATCTCAACCACCAGACAACCCCTGTCAGATTTACAGAGCTATTTATTCACCTGAGACCAGGGTAATTTGTTGGGAGATAACAAGAAAATATACAATAAAAATTGTGATTAGGGCATGCACATGTGTGGAACTAAGAGAGAAAAGGAGGTAGAAATTAGTGCCAACAAAATCAAGTGCATGAGCATCAATGCAAAGAATTTCGGGGGGGGGAGGGAATTTGTGAAGACGTAGTATCTGCCATTAGCGCCATCTGTGGAGTAAAACCTGAACACACAAGACTGAAACTTATGGAAACCCTGGAAAAATCTGTCACATTATATGGATCTTCTCTCTGAGTTAGAAACCTCATTGCTGATGAGGGAGATCCAGATAAGAGAAATGTCTAAAATGGGTTTGGGTTTTACTCGACAGATGGTGCTAGTTGTAGATACTACATGTCTTCACATCCCCCCCCCCCATTTCTTTGCATTGGTGCTCATGCACTTGATTTTATGCTCTATCACAATTTGTATTATATATTTTCTTGTTATCTCTCACCAAATTAGCCTGGTCTCAGGTAATTAAATAGCTCTGTACAATTGAAATTTACCTATTGTGTCCAACCACCAAGTCCTGAAGATGGGAACAGTGAAAAACCAAACAACTGCTGTATTAAAGATACTGCAACTGAAAGGTAAAGCACACTCTAGATTATTTTGAGGATGATAGTACTGTCAATTTCAATAGCAGATATGGTTGTAATTCCTTTTGTAACAGTAAACTAAAGCAAACACGATAAAGAGTTATCTGTAAGTGAGATATCAGAAACTTTTCAACTTCACCGTCTTTGCTTACTTAACATAGTCCTTGACTCAATTGTACTCTGTGCACTTTAGCCTCATTTATGACAGATGTACATTTTTCTCTACTATTCGATTTTGCCTTCATTTCTTCATATTGAGCTCAGAAATAATTCTCTACATTGTCTAGTCATCTCAATCTGGGCCTTCCCACTTTCCTTCAGCTTTCTGACTTCCTATTAAAAATGTTGTTGGCCACCTTTGTTTGATCCTTTCTAATCACAAGCCGGAACCTGTCCAATCTAGTTCTTTAAATATCTGGTAATAGGTTGGGGGGGATTAAATATTTCCCTTTGCTTTTGTTAGTCCTGATTCACCAAACCCCTTGCCCAGTTACAGGTCCATTTGTCTTCCTCAAAAATGTTCCTATCCAGCATATTTTAGATAATCTTACTTCAATAAATAGTCCAGTTCAAATTTGTGTTCATCTGTGACTCAAAAATAAATTTGCACACATTTCTGCCAGCATAAAATATGATAATATGGGGTATTTTGAACATTTTGAACACTGCTGGATGCCCTGTTTCAAAATCATTTTCCTGCATAGTCCTAAAAAATTAATAATTTTGCCAAAATTTTAAATTATATTTAGGTATCATACACAGCTTGATGAAAGTGAAACTCAAAACGCATTCAAAATTTCGAAAATCAGCCATTGGTTCTGTCAAACCTGTCTATATGTTATAGGGACTAAGCTACTTGACTGGTTTGGGCCAAAATTCCTATTAGGGACCTATACCAGATGTCATACAAGTACAATTCTGGTTTTGATGAGTATTGTCTCTCAGAATGTGACTCTATGTAGTCTGGTAGAAGTTTGCTGACTCTTTGACCCTGAAGAGACTGGAGCCAGTACTTTCGTCCAACACATTCCTAAGCTTCTACTGGGCTACAAGACACCATGTGCCAAAACACAGCAACCGCTATGAGAACGCACCTCACAATTTTGATTATAAGTTTTCTAGGGTCATGTTATGGAGTCACTTTACTTACACAACTCACTCTAGGCACAGGATCTTCTTGAGCAGTTCCAACTTCTTCAGCTGGTCAAGAAATACCACACAGAATCTAGATGATAGGACACTGTTATCAAAAAAGCCTATGGTTAGTCCTCTAACTGTCCTCTTTCCTTGAGGTTTTCTAACTAGAAATTTTGTGATTTATGTAATTTTCCACATATGGACTTCACATTACATCAGTCTCATGCATCCTGATTTAATCAACCCAACAAAGCTTGGAAGTTGTGGAACTCCTTGTCATGTAAGTTTATGTAGACTTTTGTTAACTCTTTTTTTCATAAGTTCAAATACCTTATTGAAAAACTGAGAACTTTGCCATCATCGTCGTTGTCGTCATCATCATCAAAGTTTGCACCTTCTGACCCATTCCATCCTACCAGGGCACCTTTGAAGATCCAAAGGATCTTTTCTCTAGGTGTACAGCCCACTATCTATTTTTAAATGCATTCAGGTTCCAGTCCTTCAACATATTGTATAAAATTAAATTTATTATTCTGAATTGTATTATTTAAATTGAACATATTTAGTTTGTTTCTAATCACTGTTTTCTAAGTTGATCCTTCAATGTGTATCCCACCACATCCCTACAAAATTTTACTTCTGCTGATTCTGCCTTTTTTCTTCTGACTTTTCAACAGTGTCCACATTTCAGAGCTGCATGTTACTGTTTGGGCAGACACAGACTTATAAAATTTGATCTTGGTCTCCTTCCTTGCATGTTCAGTCAATATTTCACATACTATTCAACATACAAGGTCTGACAATAAAGTTCGCGAACTCGGCACCATGTGCTTGCTGTGCCACCAGCGGACAGAAACCTCAGTATGGTCAACCAAGTTTACTATTTGGAAGTACTGAAAAGACTGCATAAAAAGTTAGATGGAAACGACCTAAACTTTTTGCCAGCAGCTCATGGATCTTGCATCACGACAATGCACCTGCTCACGCGGCACTGTCTGTGAGGGAGTTTTTAGCTAGTAAACAAATAACTGTGCCGGGACACACTACCTATTCACCAGATCTAGCCCCCAGTGACTTTTTCCTGTTCCAAAAGATAAAAAAAATATTGAAAGGAAGGTGTTTTGATGACACTGATGACATCAGGAGTAATATGATGGCAGCTCTGAAGGCCATTCCACAAAGCCAGTTCCAAAATTGTTTGAATGGTAGACTAGGCGCTGACATTGGTACATAGCTTCCCAAGGGGAGTACTTTGAAGGTGACCACAGTATTCAGCAACGAGGTATGTATCACTTTTACCATGATGAGTTTGTGAACTTTATTGTCAGACCATGTATGTAGTTGGAAATTAGTTAGCTTCCTTTCCAAATCTTTATTCTAAAAAAATTAAAATAGTGTACCTATGTAACTGAAATGGTTCACTTACTCATATGTAACAACTTATTATCTTAAGCACTGTTTTCCTTTTCCTTGTCTTGCACAACATTCTCTTTTATGAACATATTTCAAATCTACTTATCATAAAGCAAATATAAGTAATGCAATATCTTAAACAAACATTTCATATCACAATTCTACTTACCTTACACATTAAGCATGCCAAGTTAACAGTCCACACTCAGCAAACATTCTGCAAAAGCACTTTGTTGTGCATCTTACAGTACAACAAAATAATTAATGCCTCTAAGAGGACAGTCCAGAAAATCTAAACTCCTATGTACCCTTGCAAACAACAATTCCTTCTGAGATCTGAGATTTTTCTAACAGCACATATTCTACCTATGGTCTTGTAAGATATCATGCCATGCAGTTTGATAGTCAGGCTCCTCTGAAATCCTGATACATATCTATTAAACCACATGGTGTCACACACCAGGAGGCCACAATCTGAAATATCTGCACCAGTGTTAGCTGTGTCAAGAACAAATGTTATGAGTCTGTAAAGTGTGATATTTGTACTGGCCACCATCTCTGTAAAAAATTGTGTATATGCAATAATAAGCATCAGGATCAATGATGTATTACAAATTCAAGAGAATACACTTGGAAAATTTGTCTACTCCAAACTGGAGTACACATTTATATACATATTTATTAATAAACTGTACGTAATGATAAAAGTTTAAATTAAGCATNCTAATTTTCTGACTATCCTTTGGTTCTCAAATTACAATTTAGGATAGAAAATGACATTTTAAATTGATCAGCCATGATCTAGCCTGTCATTTCTTTTACACCCTCACTGACTTATATCAGAAGAGTTGACATAGTTAAGTTAGTATAGTGACAGGCTATAGGCTGATGGCCAAGGAATCGGATTAAATTTCTGGTAGTGTCAGAGACTTTTCTCCATGACATATAACACCAGCTTTAGTGTTCACACAGCTTCCTAGCCAATAGATACTGGGAGCTCTCTCCCTGGGAATAAAGCAGCTGGGGCAAGAAGCTGATCACTCATTGCCATCCAGATCTGAGGTTAAGAATATATGTGGATCTATACCTCCACTTTCCCACATAACTTCATGGCATGTTGCTTAGTTACTTGAACATAGAGACCATTTGCCTTTTACTGACTTATTTTATACCAGTTGGTGTTAATATCAGACTCATTAGCTATTAACAATTGTTCAGTTTACCTGTCATGCTGTTCCCTCATGCTCATTTTTTATATCTCATGTAAGTAACAACACTTTGTCTCTGGCCTTGGGCATTTCTTCTTTTACAGTTGTAAATCCACTGACACAACCTTATCATCCCTCTTGGATCTGTTTCAAAATTCCTGTTTCCCTTGTATCCATCTTCATCCAATCACATTATTTGCTTTCTGTTTTCTCACTGGGTTAGCTTTAGCTTATTCACACATTTAAAGCTGTCATTGGTGTTCTGCCATTGTCCAACTGCATACTAAATAGCTTGATTTGAGGTCCGTACAGCAGTGGCTACAAAAAGTACTGTCTTCTGGGATGTGACACCATGCAGTCTGGTAAAAGTTCACCAATGTTTTTGAGGAACATACTGCTTTCATCTTCACGGTTTAATAAAAAGGCAAGTATCTAACACAAAGCAGGCAGCATTGCTTGACTTACTATTCACACCTGAAGATGGATGCAATAAGTTCGTTTGTGGCACTTTGCATTTTTGCCAGATTACATGGTTTTATTTCTCCAAAGACAGTGTTATAGATGCTGGGAATTTCATACCATTAGACAGGATATTAATTTTCTGAAATATATTTGACATGAAAGATACTTTGGGGGTTGGCTCTACTCCCATCTTGCAACTGGTTGTCAGTTGTCATTATATTAGCAGTTCTATGATTTCTATATTTTAAGATTACCAGCAACAGTCACCTGTAACCTTTAGAATACTCAGATAGTACAATAATCACTGAAGTGACATGGTCCTCTATCCTGATCATCAATAATTAAAAATTCATGAAAATATGTCAATATAATAACACTCAAATACCTGAAGGCTGAAAACAGTGACTATATTTAATAAAATTCAATTATCCATTGCACATGAATACAGAATGAACCAAATACAGTGGGTTAACATACTCATACCAGGGGATCTAAGAACCCTGTAATGTTGTACTAAAGCACCCTGTTGCATTAATATTAAAGTTGTGTGTGTGTGTGTAATCACCATTGAATGTTTATTTTTGTTCCACATATGTATTATCTTATTACGACATGTTTGGTCATTACATGTGAATCCTGCACTGAGTTTGGTGCAATAGAATTTTAATGAATACGTTATACCGGACTTTTAAGCAACTTTTAATTAACTATAGGAACAGAAGAATTAAAAAAAATATGCTCAAAATTAGCATCAAGTAAGGATGTGTGACAGAATAGAGCACAGAGTGAAACAATTTTGATGGGACTCACACATACCTGTTGATGGCTGAAATATATCATAGTAAGATAAGATGTACATCAGACAGAAGGTAAATGTTGCATTTAAGATGGTAACATAGGTACTAAACAGTAAGAACCCCGTGTCTTCTGCATTGTAAGTTTCCAGCATGATCTTCTAAAGGTCTGTAACAGTGTGAAGTCATTTAAATATTATGTTCAACAGAGGACCTGACTGAGTCCATTTTACATTCTGTATGGGTTAATACAGGGTCTTAGTTACAGTGCAGCACCCTCCCTCAAAGTATATAGCTGCAACCATTACCTTACTTCTTGTTGTCAGACTCTTCCTGTGCAATCCAGAAGTCAGAAAACATTACCTGTACTGAAAATAAAATTTGCCACAAAGAACAGACTTTGGTATATTTCGCAGTATCCAAACCTTGACTGAGCTTACATGCCAGATTGAATCACTGCTCATGCCTTTCTTACATACCTACACATAAGAAGACATAAAGACTTACACAAGTACAGCACTGTTCAGCAGCAATTGAAACATTCATAAACCAAATATTATGAAAGGTACACAACATCCTGTCAGAAAATCCAATAGAAACAACGCACTCTGGACAAGCAGACATTGACTGAAATTAGGATGGCATGGCTCTTAGGAAAGTATTATGACAAGGAGCTGAACTTCTGTAGTTTAGTATACAATAGTGGTTTCTCCACAATAATGATATTTTGTGACCTAGTTGATAACAGTTAACAATTATCATGATAATATGTATGCTCATAAAACTCAACAGGCTAAAAGCTGGTCAACCAAGGAACTGGAGTTCAGTTTTTGACAGGGGTAAGAAATATTTATCTTTTCCACAGCATCCAAATCAGTTCTAGCCCTCAATGAGCCTCTTTCCCAGTTGGGTACCAGGGGCTCATTTCCAACGGATAAAGCACCTGGAGCGTAAACTGACCACTCTCCTCCATCTAATGGTGAGATTATGAATGCGTGGACCTGCACCTCCACTCTCCCATATGACTTTATGGAATGGTGCTTAATTAAACACATAAACTTCTATTTATTTATAACATATCAGTTGAGCAATAATAAAATTCAATTCACATCAAATTAGATCTAGAATTTTTAAAAACTAACTACATGTTACAGAGACCTCCTCTAAAAGCTAATAGTCACATAGCTGCTCAATAAATTCCCTGCCTCTTATGGCACCGAAAATAACACTGGTGTCCACAAGAGCTGTATACTACTGCTCTGTCTACTGCCAATGGCATGTGTGGACTCTACAATAATATTCCAATATTGCAGAAATCTCGATACAGAGAAATTCCTATTTAATATGTCTCTGAGGAACAACAAACAGAAGAGAATCTTAAAAAGTGAGGAAATTTTGCACCAAGATAATTAAAATTGTATAAAAAAATTAATATTAAATCTTAAATCAAGGTATACTACACACAGATTTGATAGTTCTTGCAACCAAAATCCTTCTAATAATAATTAATAGCATAAATGTAAGGTAAAGCTATCCCTGTAACAGGCCATGAAGGCCCACAGGGTTGTGAGATGTCAAAGCTACCACATTTTGTTTAGACAATCGGCTCACAGATGGCAGTAAGGTTGTCAGCCTCATGCGCCAGCCGCACTTTACCCCCCCCAGAAGATACCTGGTACTCATTTCTGTTAGAGGCTGAGTTGACCACAGGGCCATAGTGCAGTTGGAAGGATTAGGTAAATTGAAAAAAATCCACCTCTTTAGAACTCGAACCTGCGACCTTCCGGCTTGTAGCAAAGTGCCTCAACCAACTACGCTACCACATGCACCCAACAGCATACTTTCAAAATTCTTTGCAGCTATTTCCTATTACAAACTTACTCTCATATGTTGGATTTGATGTTCTAATGGCAGTGACTAAGAAGTGTACAGTCTTCTGGGTTGTAAACTTACATAACTAGGCTTAAATTGTTGCCTGTTTCTGCTGATTTCTTGCTTGGCATACACTTTAACCCTGAGGATCTAACCCATATGTTCCTCTGAAACATCAGACTCTTTCCAAACTATACAATTTTATAACCTAAAAGAGTGTAATCTCCATTGTCACTGATGTGAAAACCCCAAATCCAACAATCTCCATGTTGTAAGATTTTGGCTTTCAAAATAAGTCATGTATAATATTGAAGGTTTTCTGGTGGTGATATGAACACTGCAATTGCCATCTTCAGGATTAATTTTTTTGAAGGTGGTAGTGAATGATGTGTGGAAGGTGAAGGCATAATTGGATGAAACAGAGCTGCAGTGTTTGCCAAGATGTTGGAAGACTTAAACATTTTACACAGCTTATTTATGAAAGCAAAGCCATGTATTAAATTTGGCCATGAAAACATAAGGAAAAGGATAATATGATGGCTAATAGAAAAAAGTAATGCATGATAAGATATTCAAATGCCTCTTACAATGGTGTGGGGCAATAAACATGAATATTATTTTTGACATTGTTAATTGTCTTGAGTTTTTTCAAACATGACATTTTGGAAACTGAATCTGTTTCTGTCACTGACAACATTTTAATTTGACTGCTTTTAAACTTAATTAATAATGTCTCAGTATTCTGTGCAATACAGTTTACACACATGTTTCACAACCTTAAATTATGTGTATTTTGCACTATTCAAAAGTCATACATAAATACAACTTCTGAACAGTGGTATTAGCCATGAAGTTTAAAAATAAAACCAGAAAAATTACTACTACGGTATGACTGATTATTTACAAAAGGGGAATATGTTAATGTGTGATAAAATATTTTACATTTGGGGATGATATTTCATCAAGATATTTTCATGTGAGATCTGAGTTTCTTGTGGCAGTGACTGTGAAGATTACTGTCATCCAGGATCTGATGCCATGCAGTCTAGTAGATGTTTATCAACATTTCAGAGGAACCTGCTGCCTCCACAGAGGACACTCCACCCTGATGATGATGGCAGCAGATTTTCTTGAACGTTGATAAATATATATATATATCATGTTACACAGAAACTCTTCTCAGAAGTCAGTAATCTTCTAAAAATGTAATACTTATGCAGTTACACTGATGAACAATATTTTAAAAATCCCATGTGTGACATGTAAAGAAACCTGTATATCTAGACAAGTGTTCCCAAAAATGGGAGCCAAGACCCTTCTGGAGGCTACAGCAAATGCTAATGGTTAATTATCATCATGTAAATTGCAAACAGGAGGTCACATTAAATTTATAGAAAAAATGCTTCAAAGATAAAATTAAAGTTGATTAGTAATTATGAGTATATTCTTCAATTGATAAATCACACTATTAAATAATTTTCTAGGCTCTGGGCCTCGAATATTTTTATTTGTATCAAGGGAGCATCAGTTTGGCAATCACTGGCCTAGACAAATGTCTGTCAAGAAAAATCATCATTCAACGTGTGGTAACGTTTCAGTACTGGCATTTATTCAAGGCAGACAAAAGAAGGAAATTTCAAGACTGAAATGAAACTTCATTCACATCTTAAACCAGATCACTTGCAACATTTGGTAGAGTGTGGCCAACAATTCATAGCTGATGTACATACACAAATTTCAGTACTTGAAATTAAACATGTCCAAGAAATGTAGTTGTAGAAGTGTTGTGATCCATCCTACATGCCATGCTGTTCAGTCAGTCATAGCAATACCCTCAAACATTTATCCTTGATGTGATTTGCAGTAAATGAATTCACAGAATATACAGAGTGCAATTGAAAGGCGTGGACAAACTTTGGGCATAAATTTCACATGTCAAAACAAAAAAAAAATGTTCATATAAACATGTGTCTGGAAACATTTAATTTGTGACTTACAGCTGTTGCATGATGGTGGTCCAGCACATTTTAGTTGTGCTGTGCGAAATGTTCTCAATATCACCTATCATCACTGATGGATAGGTACAGGAAGACTCACTGCATGGCTTACACACTTGCCAGATTTGAATCCTCTGCATTTTTATCTGTAAAGACCCTTGTGTACACAGCTCCTGTTGACAATGATGTGGCACCTAACCATCACATTGTGGATGCATAGCAGACTATTTGCAACTGCCCAGCATCTGTGGACAGATGCAGCAGTCCATGATAAGACACATCAAGGTATCCATTGACTCTCATGGAGGAAATTTTGAGCACTTATTATAAATGTACTCTTTCAGCTATAACTCACAAATTAAATGTTTCAAGACATATGTTGATATGGACATTTTTTCTGGTTTTGGTATGTGGAACTCATGCCCAAAGTTTGTTTGCAACTTTCAGTTACATACTGAATATGTGCTTACACATCAGCAAATTTTGCAATAGGTAATAAACTATGTGATGCTTTTTTCAGAATATGTAATTTCAAGGAAAATGGTAAACAAATATGGGCAAAGATATCCTTCCCCTAGTTGTTACAGCTAGTCCAACCCCCTTCAACTTTCCTCCCTCCCTCCCTCTCTCAGGCAAACCTTGTTGTAGGTAGAAGTCACCAGTTCTTGGAATGTCTTTATTATAAAAAAGAGGTTTAGCAATACTTGAAAATCACTGGCCTAGAAATTATGATTATTTAAATAAATGGAGAAATAAATTATTTCGTTTCAATTCATAAAGAATCATTTTACTTTAAAGACAGAATGCTTCAATACCACCTCTATCAAGGAATATATTCTTTTGTTGATTAAAATTAAGAGTCCATTTACATTATGTTGCCCTTACTTAACCCGTTCTGTGCTACATATAAGACATGTTGCTTACAATGAGTGGTCACACTGAGCTGTATTTATCTGGCATTTGAGAATTCCAGCAAAATAAACATATTCCTCCATTTCTCAATAGTTAAAGCTATTTGCAGCTTCTGAACAATAGAAATTATATGTTACAAGAAAAATATACAATGATGGAGTGTTTATTTAAATAAGAAACCAACATGGAAAGGGTTAACAATTTTTATAATAATATTGGGTTGGAGATTACATGATTATCGAAGTTTCTACTGTAAAAAGACTATCTTATTTACAGTACCAGCTATTGTCTTCATGATGTTCACACTTCCTTGTTAAGCATTAAGCCTCCTGATCCTTCTTCTTCCACTGAAACAAATGAGCAGGAACTCAAATTACAGGAAAACAGACACAACATTCAGTACACGCTATCAAGTGTAGGGTGGTACGTGTGAAGAAATAACAGGTTCTATTTCGGATGATTGGATATATTAGCATCTTGGTTACATACTCTCTCATAATCACACTCAAATACAGGCAATTCAGCGCTATTGCTGATGTACACACCTCCTGTATTCTTCTGTACTAATAGTTCCAATTCCTGCCATTCACGTGCTTCTGCTGCTACTATCTCTCATAACTCTACTGCAACTCAGAACTCAGGACTCTGTCACACGCACTCACTGTCACTTATAGTTCCAACTCAAAATCTCCTCATGCTTCCGCCACTACTATTTATCTCTTGAACTCATAACTCCTCTCAACTGAAATTTGTCACTCACTTATATAGCTGACAGACCGACATCGACCAACAGTAAACACATATCACATGACCCCTACTCACTGTTGCTGTGTTACGTCATTGCACACGCGCAAGATGACGGACACATAGGAAATGTCACGTAATGGCCACGTACTGTTGTGTGACATCACAGCATGCATGTTGCATAGCAACAGTCCATCCGTGAAGACAGAAACAGAGAAAACACTGTTTCTGTACTGTTGGCTGCGTGTATGTTGTAGGCATTGTCTATCAACAGCTGATGTTTACAGATTCACCGCTAGCAATGGGTCTACATGCCACAGTACAACATACTCAATTATAATGTGCCTATTAAACCTTCACTAAACACAATCGGTGTTTTTATTTTACATATATATATATTTTTAATTGCCAGAACTCTCATGCTCAGGTTTAGCCTCAAGGTTGCAACAGACAATGTACCAACAGATGTGTGACTTTTGACAAGTTTTCCAGCACACATTAACTCTTTATCAGCATGCATACTGGCATATACCAGTTGGGGAGGTGGAAATACTGCAAATACTATTTTGATACTATTGAAACAAACATCAGAAAAAGGGTTAAATTTGTGGCACAAAGTAGGAATTAACATCTTGACCAAATTACTTCCTTGCATCATAAGTATAAAATATGCATGCAAAACTTAAAAAAAACTGAAAACTTTGTAGTAACTTAAGAGATCAATAAATGAGGAAATATATCTGACACATGAACATAAAAGCCTCAGCCCTCAAAGCTAAAATCAAAATTCACAAATCTTACACACCGAATAAACCGACAATATAGAACATTCATGCCTCAATTTAAAAATCAGCTTTACATATTCACCATAAACTTCAAAAACTCATAACACTAAAATACTATGAATAGCAGACACAGAAAATGTATCCATTACTAGGCAACGGCCAGTGAACATATTATTGCAGCAATAAAAACAAGCTCCTACAACAACAATACCGGGACCATCACTAGGCAAAGGCCCACTTAACGAGTCATTAAACAATGGAAGATTTCTTGGAAGCATATTTCCTATGTGGTCTGTGCTGAGGTTACATAGTGAGAGCTAATGGGAAAAATTAGTTACTGCAAAGGAGGTTATACAGGGTGATTCACGAAGTTTTACCCCCACTTAGGGAGGGCATTCCAGAGGTAATTTGGAACAAAAAATTTTAATATATTAATGGTATCCAACTCATAATTAAAGAGATATAGTAATTTGAAAACTGGTAAAAAATCTTTTTTTCTTCTAATTTCAGTCAAAACAAATTAAAAATATAATACACACATTTTTTAAACTGTTAATGTTTTAGGAAAGAAGCATTCTAGAACCATTTTTTTTTCAATTTCTTAATTTTGCATTGTGCAACATTTTTCGTCAACTTTATGTTACAAAATTACATTATTTTCAGCATCCAATTCTGTAAACATACCAATGGTTGCATATCACACCCTTCTATCAAACTGTTCCCTTTAAACTGTAGTGCTTTAGAAGATGACTGGATTTACATAAGATTTTCAAAAATGTCTCGCTGCATGTCAACATAATGTGTCGCATGCGTATGAACCGCGCTCGTAGCATTTCGCAGTTCCACACGTTTGTTCCTTATTGTCATCGCCGCGTCCAGAATAAGTTCAAGCAACGCTTCACGTGCTTGTACCTTTACCTGGTACACAATGTCCTTCGGCATTAGATCTGGCGACCTGGGAGGCCAGGCGTTACGGCCTCCGCGACCAATCTGCCGCTGTGGGAAATGCCAATCCAAGTGAGCTGCTACTGCATAGGAGAAGTGAGGAGGCACCCCATCATGCTGAAAGTTACATCCGGCATCTTGTTGCCAGAGGAACATCTTCAAGTAACTGTGCTAATTCTTCTTCTAAGAAGTGGAGATAAATCTCACCAGTTAAGCGGCCAGGAAAAATGAATGGGCCGCTTAACTGATCATACAGAACACAACACCAGACATTGACACTGAATCAGTGTTGAAAATTTGATTCTACCATGGCACGGGGATTATTGTCTGCCCAAACATGCAAGTTGTGACTGTTGTTGACCCCGTCCCGTGTAAACTGTGCCTCACTGCAGAACATTATCAAGCCGTACAACTGCCAGTTTTCTATTTAACCGCTTGCAGAACTGCAGACGAAGAGCACAGTCTCCTGGTTGTAGGTGTTGTACTTGCTGTAAATGATAAGGATGCAGCCTGTTCTCATGAAGAGTCCTCGACGCCATGGACTGAGAAACACCGAACCGCCGAGCTAGACGTCTTGTACTGGCACGCGGACTGTGCTCTACATCATCAAGAATGTTTTCTTCTTCACACAATTCATGTTGAGGATTTTGTTCGTATTGTATACGAACGCTGGGGAGAGAACCAGTTTGTCTCAATGTGTTGAATGTACTGCTAATGGATTTAGGATTCTGAATCCTGCGATTAGGATAACACCAGTGATATTCGGCAGCAGTGGCTCTCGCATTTCCATCACATACACCCAAAATAAACATCATACTGGCGTATTCCTCAGTGGAAAATGTGTACGGCATCTGAACTTCACAAAGTCGCCAACACAACGTCCTGTTAACTAGTGGATCGCTCTACCTAGGATCACGCAACATTCCAGCCGGTCTACCTTATCTGCCGACACAGCTGACTGGAACACAAGGTCACCCAAGGAGGGAAGCATAGCGCTGCATTCACAATGATGCGTTTTGAAAATCTATTGTTACTCCGTAACTATTGAAAATCGATCAAAAGTTTATAAGGAAAATTTTCAGGAAATAACCCCAGGAATATGTACCATAAGCCGGGGTAAAACTTCGTGAATCACCCTGTATTTTCAGGTATCTGCAGTGAGGTCTCAGTGCTATTGAGACATGATGTGAGTGCTGGAACATAAAAATCAATGGAGATAAGACTCGGGCCATCTACTTTTCTCATGACTTAGGCCCCCTGAGTCTCATCTTACACTGAATGGACGGAATATCCCTCCATCAATCATGTAAAATATCTCGGTGTAATCTTTGCTAAGAGGATTATATGGAGACTGCGTACAGAAACGATTAAAGCCCAGCCCTTCAGAACATTTATTATGATGTACTCCCTATTCAAAAGTGAACATATCTGTGCCAACATTAAAGTAACCCTCCATAAGGAAATGATGAGATCAGTAAAGACTTATGCTTGCCCTGCCTCAGAATTAGCAATTTAATTTCAAAGCAATGATATAGTCTCAAGAATATACCTAAAAAGAGTAAAAGCCAAGGTTCTGCATTATACATGTAAAGCGTGTGCTATCTGTAATGTTCCATGATGCTGACCAAGTGACTGTGATTTGTATTTCAGAGCATTCAGTGTTGAAGATTTAATTCAGTCTCTACTTTATGAATGACACATTACACCAATGGAACTAATGAACTGTTTACTTTGGAACTATCAATAAGTAAGAGAGTGGAAGCCAGTATTCAGATGCACTTGGTCTTATAAATGACTTATGTAGTAAATTAATATTAACTACAATGTGTATCTGGGTTACAGACATTCAGGTTATGGACATTATAAAACATGACCATAGACTTGAGATCATAAATGTGTCATTAATGAAATTCTGAATAAACATTAATTTCTTTTTAAACACAGAATGCAAAACAACAACAAATTCAGCCATACGTTCAGAAATTCACATCACACACATGCATGTACCAATGAGGTAGTGTGTTATATAGCGGGCCACTGGTTAACTTAAGCATATGTCAGTGATGGAGGAGAATGGGTGACAGCTTGGCTGCTATTCCCATCATATTTTAGAGCGTACAGTGAGTTGCTCTTATTAGATATGTTTGGAAAGTGGCTGTTACATTGAACTGCAAGCAGTTTTCTTTTAGATAGACTTGAAAGGATTCTGACAATGGTGTATACTCTACTTCTTTTGGCTTGTTTTGGACTTCTTTTGTCTTTTACATACCAGACGATGGATGAAGTCCAAAACAAGCCAAAAGAAGTAGAGTTTTCTTTTAATTTATATCGTGTACCCACAATTATTTCTGATGGGTAGGAAGATTTGTTCTTAGTATAAATATGAAAAGATTTCCATACAAACACATCTCCACTTACAAAATGGAGCTAAGAGAAAAACTGGATTTTCATTGAAAGATTTCATGATGTAGCACATTTTCAAGAATACATCCCTTCCATAATTCAGGGGCATGATGTATTGAAAAGCACATTAGTGAATAAACATTACAGATAATATAATTTAGACAGCATCAGATAAAAACAATGTGAAAGCATATGTAACAATGAAGCCATCTCCAAAATAAAAATCTTAGCTTCTGCCAAATGAAGGTCATGTAGAATATATAGTAGATATTGTCTGAGAATTTCACAGCAGTGAAAATTAAGATTGTGTTCTTCTGTGTGAAGATACATACAACTCTGTCTGTCCTTTTTTATTTTTAAAACAGTTTCATGGCAGCAAGATTGCAAGGGTAGAGGGAAGAAATGTAACCAGCCATTCCTTTTCAGTTTGATTAACTTACATGTATTAGTTCTACAATTCACATTCACTTTCCGAGCTGCTATTCTTCGAGCTCACCTTGGGTAGTTTCTCATACTGTAGAGAATTGAGAGAGGTGCCCACATTCTCGTAGATAGGCTCCAGCGGGTTATTTGTTGCTGTTGCTGATAATCAGAAACATTAATTGTATGAATAATTATGTAATTTTAAGCTATCTGTATATATTTTCTCAAGTGTCTCTCGCATTTTATAATCTACTTTCTCTGTATTCATTGTATTTTTTCCTACGATATACTATATAATCCACTCTGGACCTGAGAAGAATGCTTCAAGATACATGAAGAGAAACAATGTGCTAGTCCCCAATTAAAATTATGTTCTTAATGATAGGGTAGAGGATCATGACAGAAGATCCATCTGAAAGTCAAGAAGTTGCCTACTCAATCTTAAAACAGACTGTAACAACATTTTAGTAATTCCAAAAATATATTTCAGTATTCTCTTAATATTGGACTCACCTGGATTTACAATTGTTGGGTCTTCTATCGCATCTTTAATGCACCTATATATATATTTGTACTGCCCCTGAAAGAAGAAATATTAGTTCAAATGCAAATCATACAGGTTTACAGTTTTCTAAACATATGATTCTAAGTAAAAATAAAATGTATGATAAGTTTCTTAAGTTTTGAGATTTTCATAATGCTGACTGTTCAGACTGTGATCCTCTGGGATGTGATACCAAATAGCCCTGTAGGCAGATACTATGTTTCAGAGGAATATGTTACATCCATCTTTAGGGTTAGAGTGTGTAGGGCAAGGAAATTGCTCTGTTATATATGCAGGAGACTAGAGAAGTGGCCATGAGACTGAAATGAGGGGATAAGAAAATGGAGCCCAATTTGGGCCAGTGTGAAAGACTGGTAGCAAAAAACATGCATGTACAGGTTTGAGAATGGAGGAAATGGAAGCTGAGTGTATTAAGCACTGGAGTTTCAGTCCCTTCAAATATTTGACACATCAAAGAAGAATTTAACCCTGATGTTTCATAAATCATCTTTGTTTCCATCATCTGGGACTAATGACACGTGAAACAGATTAATGGATATGTGGGAATATCCCCACACAACACGCTGTTTTGCCGATCTTTCAGACAACACTCACTCATAAGTGAATATCACATTGCTGGACATTGCACTCATATTTATACAGCACTCACTGTCCAGCCCAACTTTGCATCATCACTGGCCAATCAGTGCTCACAATCGCAAATGCAAGTTTTGCTCCACCCATCAAGCATGATATAAAAGGCAGAGCCCAAAGCTCACATTTGTCATGGCCTAAAATTTCATCCTTCTGAAAAAGCCAACGAAATTGATGACTGTTTGGAAATTCAGTTCACGCCACATGACCTGTGCGACGAAAACTATGAAGAGTGGGTGGAGGCTAGAGTTCAAGCTCTGCTGGAAGCCGTGGATGAAAACCCCCCTCTAAACATCAGACCATGTGTCGTTCAGAAATTAATAAAATCCCTGAAATTAAAAAAGGCCTGCGGAATTGACGGCATCCCAAATGAATGCCTCAGGCACCTTCCAAGGTGACCATTGGTTCACCTAACTCATTTATTCAATCACTATTTTCGGCTCTCTCATTTTCCAAATACTTGGAAGGAAGCAAAAATAATAACTTTACCTAAACCGGGTAAAGACCCGATATTTACTCAAAATTTACATCCGATCAGCCTCCTGTCCACGACAGAAATATTATTCAAAAAAGCAATTTTGAATATCCTCCAAAAACATATTGAAGAAAGAGGCCTGCTCAGTGCAAGTCAGTTTGGTTTTCGTGCATATTACAGCACGACATTGCAATGTATGAGGCTGGCGGACCACGTGACCCTTAATTTCAACAATAAAATGTCTATGGCGGCGGTGTTCTTGGACATCGAAAAAGCCTTTGATACCACGTGGCACTCAGAATTGCTGTATAAGTTATCAAAATTGGAATTCTTGAACAGTTTGACCAAACTTATTGGGTCCTTTCTTTCTAAACGTAAATTCAGGGTCTCGCTTGAAGGCGAAATGTCAACGTCAAGGTAAATGCAAGCAGGGGTGCCATAAGGTTCTGTCCTTTCCCCTATGCTTTACAATTTGTATATAAATGATGCCCCCCAAACACATGGTGTTCACCTGGCCCTCTTTGCGGACGACAACTGTCTATATGCGACAGATCGCAAGGAGGGTTTTATTGTTAGAAAACTTCAGTGCAGTCTCAGCTCAACGGAGACCTGGTGTGAGCGCTGGAATATAAAAATTAATGAAGATAAGACTTGGGGGGGGGTCTACTTCTCTCGTGGTC